GTAATATGAATTTTGTCGGTAAAAGTGAGGAGTATGATAAAGAGAAACGTTTCTTTATCGACTCGTGATACATTTCAATTGATAATAAAAAATTGTAGATTTCTTGTTTTTTTAAAAAATAAGGAGAAATTTCAATTGAGTATTTAAAAATAAATTTTAATTGATTTAATTTAATTTAATTAGTGGATTAATGAATCAGTGAAGTGAATTAAATTAAATTAGGTTAAATACATTGAATAGTGGTAAGTAATTATATTTTGTAAAATTATTATTTATTAATAGAATTATATTCTTTGTTAATTTGTCTAGTATTATTCTTTTTAAAAAAATAAGTATAAATAAAAAAATGAGCCTCATAACAAGAATTATTTGGTCAATATTTTAGGAAGGTGTCATTTGAAGAAAATATTGAAAAAAAATTAAAAAATTTTACTGTTAATTTAAATTTTTATAAAAAAAAGACGCAAATAAATATGTTTAAATTTAACTTAATAATAAATTGACCAATTATTATTAATTATTATTTTTCTCACAATTATCGTGATACTATATATATTTATAAAAAAAACCAGCATTTTTGCTTCATATGCCAAATATTTGAATAATTAGATGTTTTTTTTTATTATAGATCCGGGAGCATTATATGTTTTAGTGTAAATTATATTTTGATCCTTGATATATAAAAATAAAATTTTCTTTAAAATAATTGGATTAATTTAAATCTCCTATTTATTGTTTCTTTTAATAAAAATCCTATTTTATTTAATTAATTGAGTTTAATAATATAAATATATTATTATTAAATTCAATTATTTTACTTACCAGTTTTTATTTATACTTATTTTTTTAAAAAGAATAATACTAGACAAATTAACAAAGAATATAATTCTATTAATAAATAATAATTTTACAAAATATAATTACTTACCACTAATCAATGTATTTAACCTAATTTAATTTAATTCACTTCACTGATTCATTAATCCACTAATTAAATTAAATTAAATCAATTAAAATTTATTTTTAAATACTCAATTGAAATTTCTCCTTATTTTTTAAAAAAACAAGAAATCTACAATTTTTTATTATCAATTGAAATGTATCACGAGTCGATAAAGAAACGTTTCTCTTTATCATACTCCTCACTTTTACCGACAAAATTCATATTACATCAGTGCACTGTCAACTAAAAAATAACATTTTACAAAACTCGTTATTTATTTTTATTTCAGGTATTTTTATATATTACTTCTTGCTTTTTGCTTCCTCGTGGAGGAAGCTATGTAGTCCTTTCGTTTATAAACTTTTTAAAAATGGTGAAAACAAATTTTCCTCTATATAGAAACATGTTATATGAGATCCTGATCAATTGTCCGGATGTATGTATGTGTGTGTGTATGTGTGTGTGTGTGTGTGTGTGTATGTGTGTGTGGATCGTTTTTGTGAACACGATATCTTTAACAGGTTTTAATGGATTTGGATAAAATTTGGTAGGCTTATTTAACACATTAATCTCTCAAAAATGACGAGAGGATTTTTAAAAATACCCCAAAAAAAAAAATTTATCGTCTTTTTTCCAAAAATTTTTTTTTAATTGAAAAAATTTTTAAATCGAAAAATTTAAGGTAATATATAATATAATCGTCTTCTTTATGTCAAGATGAATCGATTGATATATATAAAGTATAGATTTGATTGAAAATTAAAGAATTAAAGAAAGTTAAAAAATCAAAAATTCTCATTTTAGCTAAAAAATGATGTGTTTATTTAAATTCATGTTTATATATGAAATAATTTTATTCCCTGCATTGAAACGAATTGGTTGGTATATATAAAGTATAGATTTGATTTAAAATTTGAGAATTAATAAAAATTGAAAAATCGAAAATTCATATTTTAGCTAAAAAATTTTGTGTTTTTTTTAAATTCAAGTTGATGAATAAAATAATTGTATTCCTTGCATTAAAACGAATCGATTCGTATATATAAAGTTTATGTTACACTCAAAATTAATTAAAATTTTCTTTATTTTTCAAAAAATTTAATTAATTTAAAACATTTTTAACTCGAAATTTTTTAAATCAATCAATTGAATTGGACAAATTCATTGCTTCCTTCACGAGGAAGCGAATTTTTTGCTTCACACAATGAGGAAGCATAATGTTTATGAAATAAACATAAAGGACCCCCTCCTTGTTAACAATAATTATTCATGATTTATCATTTTCTCAACACTCGGACCGATTTCTTCTTTTATTAGACGCGAAATACAATGTTGGTGATTGGGCATAATGCATTGGATGATTGAGCAAACAGTCCAATTGTCCGAATGTCGTTTAGACAATTGGGCAGACGGCTTGCTCAATCAGCCAAATCGCTTGCTCAATAAATCTTTTTTTACTGGGTCGAATTATAGTTTACCAAATTAACTCTTGAGGTCAACAAACATTATTTTAAAAGAAAAACCGAAAATAAAACATGTCAAGCGTTTTTAAGTGCCTTGGTCCTATCTGGATGAAAAAAAACAAACAAATCAGCTCATTATTTTTTTTTTGTAATCGATACACCGCTACACCGATGTAACGTCTAAGAAGGGGGGTGTGACGTCCCAAGGTACCCAAAAATAAAGATTTATTTAATTAATAATAATATTCTACCTTAACTATAAATATTTCCTTATATCATTGACGAAATTGAGTATCGGGATCAGATAGTCTTTTTTAAATATAATTCTTCCTTTTCCTTTTGCGTGTTTTCTTTAAATCATATTACTTTATATTCTTTTGTTTCAATTCATCATCGATATAGAAATAGTATATAGATTTAGTAATAATAGACAATTCTTATATATGTGCACATATAATTCGTTTAGGGATATTCTTTCTTTATTATATATATAAACTATTAGAGACGGAAAGGTTATTTCTTATTCTTTTTGAATAAACATCGATTCTTAAAATAACAACTATGTGCGTAGGGTATTATTATTTTAACTTAGGTTATAATATTGTCTTTATAAAACTTTAAGTCGTATTTGTAAACCTTTTTGACATTTTATAACACCTTGTTCAAGAGATAGTTCGGGTTGCCCAGGAGAGGATCATTGTAAATAAAAATCACTAAACACACAGGCAACTGTTCTAAAAAGAGAATTTGTCGAGGGTTTCAAAAGGACATCATTGTACCATCTCCGCCTTCCAAAATAAGGCCCAATAAAACGCAAATTTTGGGACCATTGTCACCGGATCAGGATGAGACTCGCAAGACCTAAGGAAACAACCAGGGGCAATTATCGTTTTACACAATTGATCTTCTTCTTCTCTTTAATGAGTCTCACCAACACAGGCCCAAATTTTCTCTACCCCCACTATCATTACGGAGGGGTAGAATTTTTACGCAAACCAAGAAGAAGGGAACCAATGGAAATAATTGGCACAGCCCATTTTTCCTCATTGAAGGAAAGGCTTTTTCCAATTTTTCACCAGCAAAAACACGCAACGTCAGTCTTTAAAAAGTCTTCTTCCCGGTTGTACCTCTGGTCTCGTCCGAGTTGGAGCTGGAGAGTTCGTCTATCCAAAACATCATCGTGGAACTACGTTACCTCGACCTTAACGAAACCAACCCGGCTGAAAAAACTTGTATAAGAAAATGTATAAGTTCTTGTACGTGTTCATTAATCAACTTGTACATTTTCTTGTACATGTTCAAGTAATGTTCTTGAACAAGTTCAGCATCCGGAATTGAGACATGTTCTCACTTTATGCATCACTTCAATCGCTTTCATCAGAACTTTCTCCCGAGGCATCGTAAAATTCTGATGATTCAAAAATCATTAAATTTTATTTTTTACAATATTTTTTTAATTGAATTTTTCATAGAAAAAATAATTTTATTAACAATGAATATTTTTAATATGAGCTTTTTAGTTACGTTTTTCAAGTAACACAAAAAACACAAAATAAAAGATAGAAAAAAAGGTTAAGTGGATATTAAAGAATAAAAGAAATTTAAAGCTCAAAAAATGCAGAAAAATAAAATATATAACGCGACTGAATAAAAGGTGAAGAAAAGAGAATGAAGTAAAATGAAAATATTTTCAGGAATCTCCACAGAAAATAAACTCCTGAATGTTTCCTGGGAATATTTTCAAGAGGGTTTGAATTTTCATTCCGTCTTATTGAAACCTAATTATTTAAAAATCACCATCATCAGATGAATCATCATATTCAATGTTGTCGTTCGATGAGATGGACTCTGTGAAATTTTCATTTTCACTCAAATTAACATTTTGCTCTTCGTGATCATTATTAATATCAATGGAACGCGCATCATTATCATCATAATCTTGAAAATGATCAGCGTCATTAATTTAAAAAAAAATTATAATTATTATAATTATTAAATTGATTCATAAAATTAGTGTTATTAAAAATTGTTTATACTGATTCCCATCTCGAAAAATATACACAAGCACAGCAAAGTCATAAATAACATTTATTTAAAAAATTATTATTTTTAAATGTAATATATAATTTTTTGACTTAAAAAAAATTTAATTAGTATTTTTTTAATTAAAATAAATTAGTAGAAAATTTTATTATTTAGAATATTTATTATAATTACAGTTTGCGAATCGTTCGAATAATTTGAATCGTCAGAATTGTTCGAATTGTTGTCAGAAGGTAATTCTCTCAATGCAGCAACAATTCTTCTTTGTTGTCTAGTAGAATATTGTTCTAAATTTCCTACATTTCGTTCCATAATTGTTAAAACGAAAAGAAATTATTTCTCATGCTTGACTTTAAAAATGTCAAAATTACGTAAAATAACTAACAGGAAAAAGAAAAAAACAAATTAATGTTTTAAGAAACAAGTTTCGATTACTTATGGCTTTATCGAACAGCTGATTGTCATTTATTTATTCGTACATAGTTACGTACATAGTTACGAATAAACATTTTTGAAAAAGTTGCACTTTTCCTAAAAGTTTTTTCAAAAATATGTTCGTCCTCTTGAAATGGGTAAATCCGAAGGAAATTACGATTATTGAGGAAACGGAAGATTTAAAAATGAGTAACGAAGGTGACGTAGTTAACGTAAAGTATGGAAAAACATTTTACGATGCAGTATTGATGAAACGCAGCGGTGAGTAAAAATGTTTATTTATAAACAAAATTTTCAACAAATTATTATGTTTCCCTTAATCGTTTAAAATTATGAATTAGCTAAAAAAATTTTTGAAATGAATAATGTGTTTTAAAGTCATATCGGATAAAGATTTATTTTTAAGGTTAGTTTATGAAAAATATTTTTCTAAACCCTAAATAACTTTTTTAAAATTTTATTTCGGTCGAAAGAAAATTTATATTCATTTTTCAGAAAAAATTAAAAAATAACCTTTTTTTTAATTCTAGAAGACAAACAATTTTTGCAAAAAATTGACGTGTCAATTGAGGGAACAATAATTGACAAAAGGAACAATTTGAAGAAAAAAGTTTTCATTTAATCCAAATGACATTTTCTTAAATCAAATAAACTTTTTCTTCAGAAACAGTGAAAGCAGATCAGCAAATCATCAAAGGCCTGAAAGATGACAAAGAAAAGAAAAAAGATAATGAAAAAAAGGTGATAGGAGGGAAAAAGGATGCTAATAAGATGAAGGACGCCGGAAAGAAGAATGATGACGAAAAGAAGATTAATGTTGGAAAAAAGGATAATGCAGAAAAGAAATAAGATGTTGGAAAGAAGAAAAATGATCAATAGAAGAAGGATGATGAAAAGAAGGATGTTGAAAAGAAGGATGTTGAAAAAAAGGATGTTGGAAAGAAGAAAAATGATCAAAAGAAGAAGGATGAAGAAAAGAAGAAGGATGAAGAAAAGAAGAATGTTGAAAAAAAGGATGTTGGAAAGAAGGATGTTGGAAAGAAGAAAAACGATCAGAAGAAGAAGGATGATGAAAAGAAGGATGTTGAAAAAAGGATGTTGGAAAGAACAAAAATGATCGAAAGAAGAAGGATGTTGAAAAAAAGGATGTTGGAAAGAACAAAAATGATCAAAAAAGAAGGATGATGAAAAGAAGAACGATATTAGAAAAAATAAAAATGATGAAAAGAAGGATGTTGAAAAGAAAAAGGATATTGGAAAGAAGGAGGATGCAGAAAAGAAAAAGGATGCTGGAAAAAAGGAGGATCCTACGCCTTCAGGTAAAAATTCCTCATTTATAAAATATATATTTTACATGCTTTAAAATTATATATATAGTATCCAATTAAGCTGTTCCAATAAAATCAAAACGCACAATGATGGTGACGCGAAAGCATCCCTCAAATAATCATCCCAAGAAAGTTGAAGGTTTTTATTATTATTTTTTAATAAAATTGTTATAATTATTTTTTTATTATTTATTTCTTTTTATTTATTATTTTATTATTATTTTTAATTTTATTGATTTGTTTCAATAAAATAGACCTCTTTTTTTCTTGTACATGTTATTTACATTATTTACAATTGTTAAAATTTTATTTATAGTTTCCAAACCAGTCGATCAATTAAAACTCGTCTCCGGAAATGGAAAAAACTCACGAAAGAGGGTAGCAAGTGAAATGGATCACGATCTCGATTTCGGGCTTCAGCTCGAGCAAGATAGTAAGTAATTCAAATGAAGCGAAAAAATGTTTATTATTTATTAATTATTAATATTATTATTATTTATTATCCTTTTTTAATGATTTTTTCAGCAATTTAGACATCATTTTATCATTTTTTTCCAAAAATTTTTTTTAATCAAAAAAATTTTTTAATAGAAAAATTTAAGGTTATATATATATAATAAAATCGTATTCCTTACGTCAAGACAAATCGATCGGTTTATATAAAAAATAGTTTTAATTTAAATTTAAAAAATTAATGAATGTTAAAAAATAAAAAATTCACATTTTGGTTATAAAATTTTGTGATTATTTAAATTTAAATTTATAGATGAAATAATTGTATTCCTTGCATGAAAACGAATCGATTTTTGTATTTGTATTGTATTGTAAAAATTTTGTATTTATTTAAATTCAAGTTTAAATATAAAATAATTGTGTTCCTTTCATTGAAACGAATCGATATAATTGTAAATAATATAGAGGGATTCCACGGGTAAAAAGAACAGTTGTCGGTGACAAGTTATCGATTTGGCTCAAATTTTTTAGGCGTATTCTACCTCTAAAAATACTTAACTAGCCAAAATTTCAAGCCCCTATCTCATAAAGAACACTCACAATCGTAAATTTCGTGAAAAGTGACATCTTTCAAAATGAAGATTGAAAAATCCATTTCTTCTCGAAAAAATGTTAATTTTGGTCAAAAAAAAAATTGGAAAGATACTAGTCGATGGGAAATTTTCAAAAGAATCCAATGCCGTTGGAATTTTTGACCTATTTTTAAACGCATGTGCAGTAGATTAAAAAAACTGATTTTTTTAAAAAAATTCATAACTCAAAATGACCTATTTCGATTTGGCTCTAATTTTCAGGAAAGACAGCTGAAAAGCTATACTTTAAAATGGTTATACCTAAAATTTGCATATTTTGAGTTTTTAACCATTTTTATGCAAAATAGTGAGCTAATTCAAATTTTTTCAAGGTTTCTTTACAGTATTTGCTTTTTGTGCGCATGCGCAGTTATATAGACAAAAACTAAGCCCAAATTCAAAATCCTCGAAAAATTTCCAATCAGTTATCTACATTAACACTTCATTTTTATTTATTCTAAACAAATTTTAACAGAAAAAACAAATACAAGTTATAATTAAGAGCATTGCAAATATGAGAGTGTTTAAAAAAATTATCTTTTGCGTTTACTTCTTGAATTTGCCCTTGATTATCATTTATTTTTATTATTATATAATAATAAAAATAAATTTGCCCTTGATTATTTAAAAATAGGTCAAAAATTCCAACGGCATTGGATTCTTTGGAAAATTTCCCATCGACTAGTATCTTTCCAATTTTTTTTTGACCAAAATTAACATTTTTTCGAGAAGAAATGGATTTTTCAATCTTCATTTTGAAAGATGTCACTTTTCACGAAATTTACGATTGTGAGTGTTCTTTATGAGATAGGGGCTTGAAATTTTGGCTAGTTGAGTATTTTTAGAGGTAGAATACGCCTAAAAAATTTGAGCCAAATCGATAACTTGTCACCGACAACTGTTCGTATTACCAGTGGAATCCCTCTATATTATTTTTCATTAATATTTAGAAATTTCGGCTAAAATGTGAATTTTTGATTTTTTAACTTCCATTAATTCTTTAAATTTAACTTAAATGTATAGGTACTCAAATGTTTATATTATTATATTATTTTTGTATGTTTATTTCAATGTTAATGCTTTCTCCACGAGGAAACACATTTTTTTGCTGATCGTAAAGAGGAGGCAAAATGTTCATGTAATGAACATCTGAATTTACAACTTGTTTTTCCTGTATTTTTCCCGTAAAAATAAATTTGTATACTACTAAATATGAACTGTCTGGGTTGAATATTGTGTGCGCTAGGGAGAATAAACCATTTTTTTTGAAATTTTTTATTAAATTAAAAATATGTAAGTGTGCCAAATTTGAGCTATTTATGTCAAAAGATGTGGCCGTTAGGGAGGGGGGGGGTTCCTTAGTCATTTTTCGTAAAAATTCATGGTTTTTCCTTGACAACGCTATGATAATCAATTCCAATCAGGTTTTCTATATAATACAAATGTGTACCAAATTTCAGCCCTCCAGATAAATTCGTGTGGCCGCTAGGGGGGGGGGTACACGATTTAAAAAAACCGATATTAATAGGGTTCCGAACCGAGTACGGAACCCTAAAAATTAATCTTTAATCGACAATATTGCGCCATTTTGATTTTATTAAAATCTACATCAAAAGTCAGACATTTTATGCATTATTTGTACTTAGCCAAGATATTTTAGAAGGGTACATTGTCCAAAAATATTTTAAAGTAAAATAAAACCTTGAAAATTCATGTATTTTATTAAATAATTAGGGTAAATGCACTAATTGCGGCGAGATTCGAGTCAAAACACCTTTGAAATAGAAAATTCGACATTTCTATTGTATAAACTCAATTTAAGACTTATTAAACTTAAAGCTTATGTTATTAAGATATTAAAAAAAAATTTTAACTCTATAAAAATCGATTATTTAAACAAATATGAGAAATTAAAACTAATACCGTAATTTTCTATTGCGGCGAGTTTGTATCAGTTTCGGTGTATCAATTTCGGTGACCAAAATTACGTGTATTTTTTTTTTTTTTTTTTTTTTTTTTTTTGCTTAGGGACTATTGGGAAAATCTGTATACAGATACCTTGGCTTCCGCATGCCAAGGTTATGTGGGGTTGGTAAAAAAAAAGGAGAACAATAAACAAAATAAGCTGGCGAACTACTACCAGCCCCGACCCACTAATGGAAATCTTAAAAATGTTTCAATTGCGGCGCGGAAAAAATTTGATCTCAAATAATTAAATTAATAATTGTTTAAATGTGCATCTTTATAAGTATTTGTATCAAAAAAAGATTGAAATAATTTTTTTTAATCATTTGGCAACAGTTATATTAAATATAATAGTAATAATAGTTATTTTTTATGAACGCGCCGTAATTGGTGCACTCGCCGTAATTAGTACACTTACCCTATCTGTAATTTGTTTATTTTTTAATTTACGGATTTTTCTGATGCACCATTTGAAAGAGCGGTTCCTGGGCCAGAAGAAATATATGTTGCCAATGTTTTATATTGCATTTTGTTAGTTTGAATATTGCCAAACTTTAAGTTAAATTTTTGTGCACTTGGTCCATAAAGGGTTAAGAAAAAATAATATTTTGACACTGAATTTGAAAAAAATAACTCGGTTTGTATTTTATTAATCGAAAAAACAAAAGTTTATTTAAAAAATTAATTTACAGTTTTCTTAATTTTAGTTCGATTATGAAATAAAGTGAATGTGTCGATAGTTGACTCATTGAAGACTGGAAGTATTTTTCTGTAGTTAAGAAATTCGGAAATATAAAAATAGAGAAAAGAGTGAAATTCAGTGAACGATAATTTCGAATCAATGTTTCCTTATTAAAATTTGAATTTTAATTTATTTTTCAATTTTAAAATTGTGAACCGCTGGTAATTCATTGATATTCAAATTATCAAAGTTCAGTGGTACTTTTTCATTTTTTTTACTAGATGTTTCCAGGTTTTTTCCCTCTTTTAATATTTTATCATTGATTATAAAATTCTCTGGTGAATTTAGTATTAACTGAAACAACAAAAAGAGTTAATAATTTGTATATAGATTCTGCTGTCCTGTGTTTTTTAAATGCTTTTACCTTCAGATTCTTCTGATACGTCTCTTTACGTTTAATCGAATAAACACATCGAATAAAGAAGTATATAAAAACAATTCCCTCTACCAGAGCGGCTATGATACAAATTATATCAAAATATCCTTCGTAATAATATCGATATATCCAATTCGATAAGTAAAAAATACTTCTGTATGAAACCATACAAAACAAATAAACTAACAATGCTCCATCAAATTCTCCTTTTTTTATTATAAACATTAATTGTGGAATTAAAGACACTGATTCTAAGTAAGTGCTGAAAGTCCATAGGATTTCTATAGCTGAAAATTCATGATTAACTAAAAGAGCTAGCATCATAACTGGGGTCAGGATGTACTCTATCCTGAAACAAAAACAAGTTTTTAAATATAATAGCATATTTATTTTCTAATGCAAATTAGTGTATTAAAAAAATTCAACCAGAATATATAAGAAAAACATTTGTATAAATTACTAAATATTATCATATCCAAAGAACTAAAAATAAAATCAGGAATCTTACGTTTTCTGATTTTATTTTTAGTAGGGATATTGGATACACCATTTTAAATTTTGAAAATCTAATGTCAAATTCGTAATCCAACCTCGAAAACACCCTGATAGAGATTTTTAAAAGATTTTTATTTCACTAAAACTCAAAAATTCATAAAATTTTAAATTTTATCATCTTTGAGGTATTATATTTTGTTTTTAAAAATGTAAAAATATTTGTTCAATTACAAATTCAACAGTAGTGGTTAAGGATAAATAATAATAATTAAACATATATACCTGCATGTATCATGTTCACGTTCAAATGTCTTTTTGTAGACAATATAAATTAATATAAGCGTAAAATAGCTGATTAATGAAAACAATATTTTCATAGAAGTATTATAAGTAGAAACAAAGTAAGTAAATAGATCCAAATATCGAGTAGTACATTGCAGAGCAAGTAAAATTTGAGTTTTGCCACTTATACCTGCAAAATAAAAAAATTATTCAATAATTTTTCAAAATAATGCACAATTTTTTCTTCTAATTTGATAAAGATCAAACTCAACATTTAAATCCATGTATTAGATTTTTCAAAAATACGTTATTGATATGCTTTTTCAATTAGGACGAAGATTAACCGTTAGCTGACACACTGGGGTAAAAATGTTTTAATATTGTTTTGCTTAAAATGTGAAAATAGTTCATTCTGTTTAATTACATTAACTGTTTAATTTCAAGTTTCAATTTAGACAGACATTCCATTTTTTTTATTTTATCTAAAACATATATTTAATTTTTATGAATTATTTTAAGAAGAAATCGCAATTTTTTTCTTTATATTTTTTCAATATTATGCAGAGCATTCAAATTATTATAACATAACTTGCAATTTTTCCCAGTATAATAATATTGTTTTAAATTATTATTTAAATGAAAGAAATTCTAAATTCATCAAAATTGACGAACTCTGCATGAAATACACTTAATAATTTTGGATTTCAGATTTGTCAATTTTGATACATTTACAATTTTTGTATATTTATTTTGAGGTATGAAAAAATTTAAATAAAGAATAATTTATCATTTCTTTTGATATTGAAATGGAGTCGACCTTGAGTTATTGCATACAGAATATTTTTAATGTAATCTCTGAAAACCACTTACAAAATTTTTATTTAAAAATATTTGTCTATCTTTTGGAATATCATTTTATCTCACTGTGGGGTCAGTTTGATTCCAGTGTAGCAGTAGACGGTTAAATTATAAAATGATAATTTTTTGTAAAAAAAAATAAATATTAAGAATCTTTAAAAAATTTTACCTGTACAACTTCGTGTTTTAATAATTTTAATTAAAAGTAAAACAACTGCAAATAGGCGCAATTGATCGCCGGTTAAACGAAGAATATTCATTGTATGTTGGACTGAATGATTATTTTCAAGACCTTAAAAGAAAATCGACTTTAGATAGTTTCAAATAATATTATATACTGCAATCAAATTCATACGCCAGTTAGTGTAAATAAAACTCTTATCGTCACAATGTTATGATTGACTATATGTATATTTGTAGATATAAAAGCAGACATTTTCCATACCAATAAACTTGCTGTGATTATAATACGTTAATATGGATTTTTTTCTTAAAGTATAATCATTTTTATGTCAGCAGGATTTAATATTAAAAACTTAGATTAAATCTATTATAATTATTAATACTTTGTTATTTCCATAATACTAATCCGGTAGGAAGAGAGGATAAAAGAAAGATTGAAAGTTTGCAAAAATTATGTCTGTTAAATTCAAAACGCATCTTTATAAGAAAAAGCAAATTATAAATTGGTGAGTATTTTTTTTTAATAAATATAAAAATTATCGAAATCCGCTTTATCATTAGGCGAAGGGGATCTATGTAACCTCAACTTTGTGATAAGTATATATGAGAAAAGAGAATTTTCCAAAAATTCGTCGTCGGCTTGAGTCACAGTCGATATATACAGTCGGGAATTTTCAAATTAATAAATAATTATCTATATATTATATGCAAATTTGTTGGAATTGTGGCCATTGGTCTTATTATTAAAAATATGTATAATTACATGATTTTTTGTTGTAATATAAAAACACTTTCAAATTTTTTTTTATCTTACCCATATGGGTCTTAAAGTATACGATTTAAAATTTGCTTCATTTTTTTCATTTCGTAATTACATAAAAAATGAAATAATAGAAATTATATTTTCACTATACAATAAGTTCTTTTCAAAAATAAATAATTATTATTGTCTAACTGCGAAAAACAATTTAATTTCTAGACACCATTTTTTGCGGCCAGGGAAAAATGGATATTCCGTAAGCGGACGCAGGTTTATGCCTTGTTAGATGGACGCAAGATTGTTATATAAAAAATTGGAGAGTTTTCACAAGTTGTGTAGAAAATACTAATCTTAAAAAAAAAGACAAGAGAAAATTTTTTTGAGGAGGTGAGTGTTACGTATGAATTTCGTAACTTCTTATTAATAAATTATTAACATTATTAATAATTCATTAATACAATACTTTAAAAAGAGGGACACAAATATGCAACTCAAGCAAATAACACTTTATAAACATTACAAGAAATGCCTTTGGAATCTCTGAGCGATGTCCAAATAATTATATATTAAATATTAACTTTCAATCAATAACCTAAATTATAAAGAAGACCTATTTAAATTCATGATAAAATTGAGAAACTAAGTGAACTAAATTAACTCAAGTAACAAAGGATGGCGCAATAAAGATTGCTGCATCCAAAGTATGTCAGTACAGAAAGAACGGGAATACTACCCCAATATTGCAAGGTTGCAATAAAGAACATTGGCAACAATAAGTTACCAAATAAAACATACTTTTTCCCACCAAAGATCAGCTCAATAAAACCAGTAGACACAGGGAGTGTCAGTTAGTTAGGAGTCGAGTGAGCTCAGAGTGGAGCTTGGAGTTTGTGAGAGTTTTGAGTTGGAGTTTTGAGTCTCTGAGTTGAGAGACTTTTTGAAACAAACCTCTAGTTCGAGGTTGTTTCCATTTGGAGTTTTATTGAGTTTTATCTGAGTTTGATTTTTGAGTTGAGATTATTTAAAGTATTTATTTTTGAATTGAGATTTTTGACAAAAAGAGTATTTAATATTGAATTGTGAATTGATTTAAGAATATTGAGTTTTACAAAGAATTGATAATTGAAGTAGTTGAATAAAGAGAACCTGATTTTTGAGTTTGATTTAAAGAGTATATAAAGGAGTTTCTTTTGAGATCACTTAGTTTTGAGATTTAGAGTGAAAATAAATAGTAATTGAGTTTATGTTTTCTATTGAGTTTTGTTTACCATTAATTGATTGAGTTAAAGAGAATACTAAATAATTGTAATAAGTTGAAGAATTGAATTGAGACACGAGGAATTCCAAAAGGTAAATATACGTAAGAGTTCAGAGACTCTTGACACAATACACACACAACATTATTACACATACATACATTCACACGTAAATTGTATTAGAATACAGAATACTATAATATTGTATCATTTGAGCTATTACACAATATATATTTATATACTATTAATTAAATATTTGTTTGATCTTTTATTTAAATCATTCCTAACCAATTGTTCTGATTAATATGGATTCTCAACCAACTCACTGAATAATAGTGAGGTAAGGAAGGGATCCACTACCTTTTACAATATAATTTGTCCGAAGGGCAACGTGTGTTAAAGTACCAAAGTCTTTTAGAGTTTTAGAAAATATCAATCTTTGATTGATATTGAATAATTTTCTAATTTCCAAAATTCATCTTTAACAGTGAGTGTTTATGTCCCACACGTGTGGGACAATAAATAAAATAATAATAAAATTTGATTCATTTTTAAAAAACGTTTTGTGATAAAAAAGTATTGAATTTTCCAGATGATAGAATTCATTTTTCAAAAATCCTTTTGATTGAAAAGTATAAGAATTTTAGTGGATGAATTTGATTCATTTTAAAAAAAATTCTTTTGATAGAAAAGTATTAAATTTTACAGATATGATAGAATTTGATTGATTTTGCAAAAAATTTTTTGATTGCAAAGTATAAGAATTTTAGTGGATAGGATTTGATTGAATTTCAATGTAATCCTTTTGATAGATAAGTATTACATCTTTAAGCAGATAGAATTTGATTGATTTTTTATAAAATTCTATTGATAGAAAAGTATTAAATTTTACAGATGATAGAATTTGATTCGTTTTTCAAAAATCCTTTTTATTAAAAAGTATAAGAATTTTTAGTGTATAGAATTATATTGAATTTTGATACAAAAACTTTGATAGAAAAGTATTGCAATTTCATTTTGTATTAATTTTGATAGATACTTTTTCAAAATGTATGATAGAGATGGATTGGAATTTTATCTTCTTATTGAAAACGATTGAAATTTCACAATTTGATTAAAATTGATTGAAATTTCAATTCTTGACATATAGAAAGTCTATCAAATCCTATGCTTTTTGTTTGTGTCGATGTTTAAATGTCCACATGAAAAGAATATTTACACGAAACTTTGAAGAAATATTACACTGTAAATATTCACGTGCAATGTTCAGTTAATGTTGTGTCAATATTCACCTATTGGGATCTGAAATCATAGGGAATTATGGGGAAACTGACCTCGTTGCGTCAGCCATCTTGATTTATTATCTCTTTCTTCTACATATATTTTAAAAAGGATGAAACGAGAAATGGCTGACACAACGAGGTCGTCACCAGATGGCGTATCGCAGTATTTCAGATCCCAATACTTATTATATTAGTAAATGAAAATTTTATAACTAGGCGAAAATGTAATTTCAATATTGACACAACATTGACTGAACATTGCACGTAAATATTTATGTGTAATATTTCCTCAAAGTTTCGTGTGAATATTCTTTTCATGTGAACATTTAAACATCGACACAAACTTGTATGAACCTTGCCACTAAAGTTTCCTAACCTCGCCATGTGAGGTTCTGTCAAGTTACAGGGAATTTTGGGTGCTGTGTGGGGTGATTAACATATGGAATTATTAACATTTCTGGTGTTATCAAATTATAAGTTACAGTTTAAATACTTCTTTATAGGTTAAAAGGCGCATTCTCTTAAATGAATAAGTGGAATTGGTGAACAAAACATTACAAGAGAATAATGCATCTATTATATTCATGAAGCTTCACTCCCGGAGGACGATGCGTTTGAACTGGAAAATGAAGCTACACTCCCAACACAGAAAAAAACTGAACTCAGAATGAGCCGTATAGGCGGCTCATTTTGATGTGCAACAAAAATGAACCAGGTTGGTGGCGCCACTGTCTATGTCGTTTAGCATTGGCTCATTTTGATTTGCAACAAAAATGAGACTAGGTTTTTTCTGTGAAAGGGCGAGGCGTTTCAACTGGAAAACGAAGCTGCATTCCTGGAGAACGAAGATTTCTTAACAGAAGAAGAAACTGCACTACCTAAAAACCAAACGTTTTTACCGGAAAAAGTTCCATTTTCTCAGAATAAAGCATCATTTTAAGATCAACGCGTAAACTGTAATGTTTTTCCACCAATACAAAAAATGCGAGAGGAAGACCAAAACATTCATTAACAACACCAATAGGTCTTCAAAAAAAAAAAAAATAAATAAAATCGATACAAAAAAATGTGATATTATTTTTTTCGCAAACGAATACAAGAAGACAAAATAAAATTATTAAGTCCCGGAAGAAATTGTTGAAAAATCCCTACATGGAAATAAAACTGATGAGGAATTTGTTGAAATAATATCAGAAAGATTAAGTTTTGCACCATTATTAATGAAGATGTTGATGCTATGCAGCAAGTAAAAAGCAGCACGAAAAATCTAATAATAAAAACATCTGGTGTGATTCTTTCTTAGAGCGGATTCACCAGGTGTGCGTAAATTTAAAGAAATCACAAAAGACTGTAAACTGGTTTTGTTCAGATTGTTTCACATAAATGAAAGATTATTTTTTGATGGAAAATTTAAATCAGTCTGCTGTGCGAATTATTCTAGATAATTATAAAGATGTAAAGGTAAATAAATAACATTTTTAAATACAATTACTCAGTGAATAGATAATAATTTAATATGTGTTTTTAGATCCATTTTGAAGAAAAAGAACTTCATTTTTCTGGTTTTAATCACAGAAACAGTGAATGACCTTATTTTCTTAGTAGAGAAATTAGATGAATTGCATGAAGTGCCCTCGACCAAGGTTATTATAATCTTTCTTCTCATATAACACACGAAGTAAGAATAAGGAGTCTGCACTCCATGCGTGGATTGGAGGAAAAATGTCCCCAAATCTGGTAAAAGTATTCCGGAAAATTAGAATAGTCGGAGGTGGCGTTCGTAACGGAAAAATCCTTAAACTATTGATTTCCCTAATGAAAGTCGTCTGCTATTTTTCAAAAGTATATTATAAAATCATATAATTCCATATTTTTTAAAAATTAAGTAATTGAATAAATAGTAAATATTAAATATGAAATATTATTTGTATTTTAAAAGTCATTTACAAATTAATTAATTTTATTAATTTTAATGAAGTTCTTTAAAAATTCACTAACTTTAAACTTCTTTTTAATACACATTCTTTAACAAACAATTATTGTTTTTTTTGTTTCTACAGTAATCTGTATCTATTTAATTGTAAAAAAAGTTTCCATTAAAATCTCTTAAAATTGAATTAATTCGATCTAAAAATCTTGCGATATGACTTTTACCAGATTTGGGGACATTTTTCCTCCAATCCACGCATGGAGTGCAGACTCTTTATTCTTACTTCGTGATATAACATTAATTAAAGCGATTTTTGTGTTATTTAAGCCATTATTAATTTCTACGGGGTGAAAATTGCATTGGTTTTGCAAAGAAAAAAAAGCCAGGTACCTCAGGTCCACAACGCACCGAAATCGCAGTAAGAAAGATTTAAAGGAAAAGAAAGTTTAAAAGTCGAGAATACCAAATTAAATACAAATTTGAAAATTAAAATTGAAGCCAATAAGCGTCTTGTTAAAAAAGTAAATTTAAAAACAATATTTTATATTATTAATAATTATGTACAACTGGTTTGTAATTATTTCATGTAAAACAAAATTATTTTCAGGGTAAAAAATGAAAGATCGTCTGGAATTATTACGAAAAACAATGTGCTGAAATTGTGGAGGATAGTTTGGTAAAAGCAATAGGAAAACTATCCGCAAATGAACAATTGGCATGAGATTGGAATGAGATACAGTCGCCAGTGGGTTATAAATGTATTCTTTCCAGAATAAAAAGCACCTCAGAAAGAAGAAGGTGCTTGCATTGCCTTCATTTCGAACACTTCATAGATGCATGAAGCGAATGAAAAGCGCTTTACGGCTTTCAAAGTTAACGTTTTCGAAGCATTAAAATTGAAACAGAGAAAATAAATTTCAAAGACAGAAACGGTAACTAGAATTGTTTTAACAGTCTTTTTTTATTAGAAACATAAATATTCTGTTTTGAAAGAATATAATAATAAACTTTAATAAAATACTGTATCGCTATTATTATAGGAGCTATTCTTATCGATGAAATGAAGTTATCGAAAGGCGTTAGCGTACAAGCCTGTCGAAGAAAATCTCACAAACGCAGAGAATCGAACTTACAACATGACGAACGCAAACCGAATATCTAAGCCTCTATCTAGACTAACCTGAGATCGTAAAAACAGAATACGGTTTTATGAAAATAGAAGATCTTGTTGAGGCGTATTTGATTTTAACGCTTCTGTTACACGCCAAATTACTATTGTGTAACTAATTTGAGGAAAGCTTGTTAGGATGAAAAAGTAACGTGAAACAAATTTTTAATATTAACAATGATGTATTTATTTTAATTGTATAGATATTGATCTGTTTATAAACTTCACTTATTTGTTATGTATGTATGTAAAATTCGCGACGGAGTTTTCAACAAGAAGTTTGGTTTGAATTTAAATATTTCATCTTGTACATTCAATCGCCGTGGTAGAGGAAATTTTGGAAAATATTTAGAAAGGGAAAAAAGAAGTGTTTTTATCATATTAGAGAATTTTGATTGGTTTTTAAACATTCTATTGAAATTTGAAGGGAAGGTAGAGTGGAGGTAGGAAGATGCTTGGTAGATGGTCATCTGACTGCACGTAGCCTTGGGGTAATTACTACATTTGCTAAAATTTGGTTTTTATGAATTGTGTCCCTTTTTTATGATATGGTCCAACTTATCGTATTGGTACCCGGATTAAGATATAAAGTGTGCAAGTTTATTGTCATAATCCCTTGCTTCATTCAAACTTTCTTAAAAATACATATTTTCAAACTTTCTTAATTTTTACAATCTCCAACTATTAGATTTAAAAACATCTGCAGATCTATTGTTACGCCGTAACAGATTTTATAACTTTTTTTCAATTTTATCAACATACTTTGTTGATGATTATTATTATTATTATTAATATATAAAAAATTTAAAATTATTACAATTTTTAAAAATTAATAAATAAAGTTATAATAGGTATAAATAATTACATTGATCAAAAAACATATTTTAAGTCAAATTATCAAAGATTAATGTACATACATAATAATTATATATTAATGTATATAATAATTATATATAATTAATTATCATGTATTTATTTATCTTATCACAAATTACTTTTCATTTTTATTCACTTTAAGGGGTCTACCCACTTTAGACGCGCTAAAATGAAAGTTGTTTTCAAGAATTTTTCTGATAGGTTTATATTATAAATATTGACATATAAGGTGTTAGACTAAAGAAATACACTACCGAAATACATGAAAAAATTTTTGTTATTTGTTTTTGTAAATTTTATATGCCTGAATATGGTAGTTGAAAAAAAATCCCACAAAAAATTTTTTTTCCGCACTGTTGATGAAATCTCGGAAACGGCTCCACCGATCCTTACCAAACTTTTACTACATATTCTTTGGGACCATAGCTCTTGTGTATATCAAGGGATTTTAAAAATTTTGATTTTAAATATTTTTTTGGGCCCAAAACGGTAAAAAAACAACGTTTTTTTTACATTTTTTTCGAAAAATGTCTGCCATTTTGTCAATTTTGCATAAAAAAAAATCGTATGATATGCACAATAGCTATCAACATGCTGAATCTAATACCGTTTGAATTTTTTGTTTCAAACCATCCGTGTCAAAAATTTCATCAACAGCGCACTACAATTTTTTTTAAACATATTTTTCAACATGTATTTTTAAATAAAAAAATTAATTGAAAAAAATCAAAAATATTTTTTTTTGCACTTCGAAAGTGTATTTATTATGTGCAATACCTCGCATATCAATATTTGTAATATAAATCTAAAAAACAATATATGAAAATAGCTTTTTTCAGTCTGTCTGAAATGGGTAGACCCCTTAAAAAATCAATTTTCAAAAACTAATTTAAAGGTTAAAAAACAAGTATTTTTATAAAACAGAAGTTGACTTTCTTAATATCGATTTATTTGTTGTATTTGATTTATAAAAATTCTTGTTTTTTAACCTTCAAATTCGTTTTTGAAAGTTGATTTTTTAAAGTAAATAAAAATAAAATGTATAGATCGTTCTCCATCATCAAATTTTGATAAGATGAATAAAGAAGACTTAACATTAATTTTAAGATCAAAATGGGACTTTTTCATTTATCGCCTGCATATAAGTATTCAAAATCAGATAAAATCCTGAATAATTCAATATTCAAGGTACAATATTTCTCATATTTCTACATTTTTAAATTAAAATGTCTGCATATCATATATGAAAGTACATTAAAAGTACTTACTATTTGGTAGTAATAAATATTTTATAAACTGTCCTAGAAAATGTGATTTAAATATGACAAATTTTGATATTTTACAGGTAAGTTTGAATAATTAATTTTTAACCAGTATTTTGACCTTTTTAAACAATAATCGATTAATATTGATAAATTAGACTATATTAAACAAATATCAATCAGAAAAATTTTACTATCTAAGCTATTTGTGTTCTTACTCAGTTTTTTTTATTATTGCTAGTCTCTTTTACATATATGATGGATTTCACGTCTAAAATCCAGGAAAAATAAAAATTTTATCCAAGCTATCCCCAATTTTTTTTTATATGTTGTCCTATTCCTATACTTTGTATATTTATTACACTTAAACGAAAAGGTAAAAAATAATTTCTGAACATGATTCTTTCAGATTTTTTGATAATATTTCGATTGTTTATTTAATGTTAAAGTTGGAAAAATTTTTTTTCTCCTTAGAAACAGCGTAACTTTTTAGAGAAGGCGATTATTACGTCAACAAAGGCGACAAATTTTAATGCATTAACCTAGAAACATATTCTGATAGTTAATAAAAAAAGTTTTTTAAAAACCGTTCATAATTGTAATAATAGCCTTTTCTAAAAAGTTACGCTGTTTTTAAAGATGACAAAAAAAATTTTCCAACTTTAACATTAAATAAACAATTGAAAAACATTTTTTTTCAAAAAAAAAAATCAGTGGCGTTATGCAGAATTTTATCATCTTTAAAACAAGGTCAAGAACGTCAACATCGGTTAAAATTTGTAGGCTCTATGTTAATTTGTCTACAGCCGTGTTTTTCGTTCCACTGCGCGAGACAGTGTGGCTTCACGTTGACTTATCCAGCGACTTTCAATATTTAATTTCTCGGAAACAAAAAAAAAAACGATTTTTTGAAAATTAAGTATTTTGTGGGAATAAAATCTCAGCTTTCCTATAAAAATAAAATAAAAAACGAGCCCAAAGATGAAAAAAATCAAAATTTATTTTTAATTTAAAAAAATTTTGGTCCAATTTTTTTTTTCAAAATGGATTACACCAATCGAAAGATTATCAAAAAATCTAAAAGAATCATGTTCAGAATATATTTTTTATCTTTTTGTTTAAGTATAATAAATAAACAAAGCATAGCGTGTCATCTAAAAATTCAAAATTTTTGATCTCCCCCTACTACTAATTTTTCGTAAAATTCAAAAATATTTGTCTGCTAAATTACTAACGTATAGGACAAGTCATAAAAAAATTGGAGATAGCTTCGATAAAATTTTTATTTTGCCTGAACTTTTGACGTGAAATCCATCATATTCTTCTCTGACGGGCGAAATAAACTATTCTTATCTTATTTTGCCAGCTAGTCTGCGAAATAGCTGAATTTCAATTAATTAAAGACTTATAAGATCATAATTATTTATTTGAATATAAGATTTTACTCATATGTTTCATGTTATTTCAAATTGTAATCTTCATACTTACAAGTCGCAAAACCAAGGTTTTCAATTTAAAATTCAAAGTTATACACAGTTATAGAGTAGAGGTAAAGAAAATTCATTAAATTTCCAAGTAAACTTTGACGCTCATATTTGGTAAAATTGCAACTCTTTTGCGAACGTCTAAACTATCTTTCATTTTTTGCTCTGTTTTTTTAATGTAAACCCCCATTAATTTGAAGGTCAAAGTCTTTTATTAAAATTTTTTGTCAAATGCGTAAAATCAATTTTCAAGTTGTCATTCACATATTTTTTCACACAGAACTACAAAATCAGGTTAAAAATTATCGGAAAACTGTAACAAACATTTCCAATAATTATACAAATGCAAATATTTTATTAATATTTGCAGACAGTAAACAAAACCTAAAACTTTGTTTACCTTGTGTTATCATATTTCTGACTCACACTCTCTTAGTTGGTAAGAGAGAGACAAGTATATTACTGTCGCACATGCGCACTATTTTGAAATTTCATTCCGCTTTTGCCCAAATACTCTCTCTACAATCTTTTCTACGCGAATTTTAAATCTATAAATTCGCGCGCCAACACTACAAATCTTTACCGGATCATGGCGAAATATACATAACTTACGTGTATAAAGCCAACGCATGCGTACTCCGCATGAAACCCAAACATCATCATTCCGCTTTTGTGATCATGGCAGGTTGGTTTCCATTGTCCCCACTCGCCATTTGTCTTAGGGTACGGTCACACTATTTCATGTATGCACTGTGCACAGAAATGGGTAAAGGCGCTTGTACACCTGACAATTTCTGATATTCGGAATTTGTCAGAAATTTCACTAACTTTGATTTGCTTTGCTCATAGAGAATTTCGAAATTTCTCAATCTTTTGGAAAAAAACTTTCAGTTGAGTTAAATAATATTATCTTATTTGCAATAATTTCGTAAAAAATTTTAACATTTTAAATGTGCTTTCGTTATCAATTTAGAAGAGAAATACTAATATAATTTAAATTTTATCAAAGCATCGATAATTAATTTTTGCCAATATCAGAACTTTTGAAAATTCGAAACAAGCAGATTTAAGGCTTTACATATGTCATATACGTAAAAAACTCTATGTTATTTACCTGAGGTATTTTACATACGCAACCCTGAATACGTGTATATTACACGTAAAATACCTTGTATTATACTCGAGGTTTTCTACGTACCCATATCTGATTTACATCTTTGGTAAAAAAAATTTTTATTTTGCATTTTTCGAAATACACAAACCTGATTGGTTGTTCACAATCTGATTGATAATGGACAATTAATCAGATTTTTGCATTTCGGAAAATCAAAGGAAAAAAATTTTTTTACCAAAGGTATAAATGCTCCATGAAAAAAATTTTCTCTACACTATTCAAGCCAGATATGAAATACTATTGTATATATTTTCAAATTTTAAGGCGCTAGGATAATTCTAGTATGAGGGTACGGTCACACTATCTCATGCATGCACTGTGCATGCATGTAGAAACATTTGGCCGGTCACACTTCAACGAAATCTAGTGAATGTTTAGTAACTTTCTAGTTACAACCGAAATTTTTGGAAAATTACTAGAAAGTTACTAAACATTCACTAGATTTCGTTGAAGTGTGACCGGCCAAATGTTTCTGCATGCATGCACAGTGCATGCATGAGATAGTGTGACCGTACCCTAACGCGAGTGAGTGCTTAGTGGTGGCGCATAGAAGCTTCCGTAGATATTGGCAAAAATCGCAAAAATTAATTATCGATGCTGTGATAATATTGAAATATTATTAGTATTTCTCTACTAAATTGAGAACGGAAGCACATTTAAAATGTTAAAATTTTTTACAAAATTATTGCAAATAAGATAATATTATTTGACTCAACTGAAAGTTCTCAATTGATCAATATTTAAATAGTTTATTTATTAATTAATACTTATTTATCAGCAACAAACCAGAAAGTAAATAACAAAAAGAGGTTATGTTGCCATTGATGCAGCCACTGAACTATATACATAGAGTTATTATAAATAGAGTGGGGAAGGTATAAGAGCCACAGTAAGTGGCGATGAGACGCCCGAAGAGAGAGAAAGAAAACCGAAACCGTAGTTCTGTCCTTCTCTAAAAATGCTTCACTGCGCAAGCGCGGGCGAGTGACTGAAGGGGGCAGAAGAGGACAGATATACGGTTTCGGTTGTCTTTCTCTTTCTATGCAGCGGACGCTTAGGTACAGTCCTTCCCCACTCTATTTATAATAACTCTATGACTATATATATCTGGAATGCTGTCTGCCATTGAAAGTCGCGAACTGAGAGAGAGGGCTGATTCTTGTATTCCCCTCTTTGTCGGTACAGGTCCATTAGAAAATATTTAACAGTTTGTATACGTGAACATGACATAACACAGTTAACAGTAAACTTTTGGAACGTATTGTACTACGCCTGCGCAGTTGAGAAGGAGAAGGATACAAGAATCAGACCTCTCTTTCGGTTTGCGACCATCAATGTCAGACATCATTCCAGATATATACAGTTCAGTTGATGCAGCTATAATGTCGAAAACCTAGTTTTCTACAGTATTATACGTATAATACGTCATTTATGTATTATACGTATATAACCTCCAGAAAAGCACTTTTAAGGCCAAAGCAGAATAGATTCTTGAACGGGAACGCAACCGTGAACGGAAACGTAAGAATGAGTGAGAAAAGAATAAAGATATTTGTTATCCTTCTCTTACTCATTCTTACGTTTCCGTTTACGATTGCGTTCCCGTTCAAGAATCTATTCTGCTTAGGCCTTTACCCATCTCTGGGTCTATCATTAATCTCATGCTGATTCTACACTCACCGAAAACTGAGCGAGCGGTCCGCTTTTCCGTCACGCTTCCCATATTCAACTGAATCTATATATATATAAAACGTAACGCAAATACGGACCGCTCGCGCAGTTTTAAGGCGCTTGTACACCTCACAAATTCTGAGTATCCTCGGAATTTGTTAGAAGTTTCACTAACTTTGATTGGCTTTGCTCATAGAGAATTTCGAAATTTTCCTATCTTTTGGAAATTCTCCATGAGCAAGGCCAATCAAAATTAGTATAACTTTTGACAAATTCCGAGTACATTTGTGAGGTGTACAAGCGCCTTTAGGTGAGTGTCGAATCAGCATTAAGTCGAATTTAAACACTGCGCGTAAAAGCTTCCGTACACAACAGCGTCTCAAGGCCTTTCTCCAATAGGATCCTAAACTCTTGCGTTGCGTATGCATTGCGTCGGTTGCTATTGGCAACCAATGCTAAAATCAACGCGTCAGTCACGCAACGCAAAAGTTTAGGTTCCTATTGGAGAAAGGCCTTCAGGCGTCACATTTTGGATTCTCCATCACCTACTATGCAAATATCATGCAGATAACCGAGGTGTGTCCGTACCTTAAGTACTACTCAACTGTCATTTACCTGAAAAAAGTGTATTGCCGGGGTTACATATAATCAACATACTTAGTCTTTTTGAAACCACTTATTGGTTTGTAGTAAATATACGGTTCAGTAGTTTACTATTTATATTTTAACAATACTTGTACATATGAACATTACTTTTGACACATAATGAAAAAAATATTTATACTAACAAATCAAAATCTATTAAAATTTTACACATTTTATTCTATGTTTTTAAGACTTACTGTTTATAGCAATAAATAAAGTGAAGAAGAACAATTTTATTATTGTATACAATATCAAATACTATATTTTGTGATTTAGTGTAGAGTTAATTTTGAGTACAGTGATATATAGTACATATATTTTGTGCTTGCTTTTGGAATGTCAGGAAGTGATAGTCCTACATTTTTTCACGGACAGCCGTGGTCAAATTGGATTGAAAGAATTGGCCGAGATAAACCACTAAGTAAGTTTATAAATTATAAGTTTATTTATAAATTAAATATTATAAGTTTTAAATTTCCTATTGTAGCTCCTATTATAATGAAAAAATTTTATGCAAAATTCATATAATAATCTAACAATAACAAAGTTATGAAGATTGAATTTTAAGTACGATTTTGTAATTTGTTTATTTTATTTGATGAAGATTTGTCACGATGGGGAAAAGGACAATGCACGGTGAACTGGAATATCAGGAGCGTATTAACTTTTTGTGTGCCCTGTGTTTATCGCAAAAGAGCTCGCGTTATTTTTTTTGGGTTTCGTCGCTCAGGGTCGAAACCCTTAAAACGACGCTTTGGTGTCCGCATGTCCATCGTACACCATAGATGACAATTTGACATCGTTGAGACTGTTAACACTTAATCCTATGTTGAGACTTAATATCATTGAGACTTGAGACTGTTATATAATGTTAAGTCTTAAATGTTATGTCTTAAGACGTAACAGTCTCAAGTATCAATTGTCGTACGTTAAGCTTAAGACTTGAGACTTAACCTTTGGCCATAAAACCCTTTAATGAAGGCACAATGCCTCCGCTTCTCTGACTAATTCTTTTACCACAACCAATATGATTGCATCAAATATGAAGATTAATTTTTTTTTAAATTCCTAAAAGCACTGATCATTTCTTCAACATTGCATTCTTATCGTTTCCTAAAAAATGATGATGAACGGCAGAAAATTATTTTCTAAGTAAGCTTGAGACCAAATTCATTTCAAATCAGGCAGGCAGAAAAGTCGTTTATCTATAATGGAAAAAAAAATTTAAAGTGTTATAACTTTTAAAGTAATTTAGATGTCTCATTTTTTCTTTTTGCATTTGAAAGAGCTTTCATTTTTCTTTCAAAATCCGTTGGAAAAATGAAAGCTCTTTCAAATGCAAAAAGAAAAAATGAGACATCTAAATTACTTTAAAATTTATAACATTTTTAAGTTTTTTTTTCCATTACAGATAAACGATTTCTCAGCCTGCCTGATTTGAAATGAATTTGGTCTTGAAATGATTGCAATATCCACTTTTGGAAATGATCGTCAAGTATGTTTTCACCGGTTTACAGTGAAAATGCCAATCGAACGAAACATTTTTTCTCGATTAATAGGTGTTTTTCGGGTAAGAAAAACATATTTTGGAATTTTTTCCTTCGTGCAGTTTTGCTGAATCTGAAAATTATAAATTTTCGAGGTGTGAGGTCACTTAAACTCACCTGTACGAAAATTGGCTAGTCCAAATATAATAAATAATATAGCATTGAAGAGGTGATTAAATAACCTTTTGAACCCTTGGTCCTGCGATAAAATTCAATGAAAATTGACAGACTTATAGTTGATCAAAGTACAAATTTCATGCAAATTTTTATAATTTTAAGACACTTGTCTAACTTCCGCTAATTTTTTTAAATTCAAACAATAGAAAAAGTTAATGTTTTCAATTTTTTATTGGTACTCTATGTAATTACGAAAATTTTGAGCCCAAGTTTTTTTTTCATTTTTAGTTACCTCTTAAGTGATTTCAGTCTAAAAAATTAATTTATTTCTAAAAAAATTTAAATATTTTTTATTATCTGTTTCTATGGTCCACAAATTTATTCCACTTTGTAAAAAAAGGTTTTGTGCAATAAATCAATAGCAATTTCGGAATTATATAATATTAAAAAAGAAAATACGTTTGCAGTGACATTTGCAGCAAGAATTCAAACTATAAATAAAGTTAAACTACGGTTTTAAAAATCTTTAATCTAGCATTTTTGGAGTGGCTGATTACGAATCCAAGGAAGTTTTTGAAAATTCAAAATGGCGGACAAAATTTTATAAATCTGAGATAAATTCACGAAAATGACTATTCGGGGGTTTTTAGGGTTTCTGATTATGAATCCAATTTGAGTTTTTGAAAATTTATCAGTCTTAGATTTTTAAAATATTCTTCACCATATTGGACACTTTATTTTGAATTTTCAAAAACTGTCTTTGGATTCATAATCAGAAACCCCAAAAACCCTAGATTAGGTAGTGATTTTTAAAACTTATTTTTAACTTTATTTTATAGTTTGCATTCTTGCTGCAAATCTCACTGCAAACGTATTTTCTTTTTTATTATTATAATTACGAAATTGCTATTGATTTATTGCACAAAACATTTTTTTACAATGTAGAATAAATTTCTTGGACCATAGAAACATGATAATAAAAAATATTAAAATTTTTTTGAAAAAAATGAATTTTTTAATGCAAAAGTGATATTGATTGAAATCACTTAAGAAGTTACTAAAAGTAAAAAAGTTGTTTCATTCACTAAATCTAGTGTACAATTTTTATCTTTCATCTGATTGTGCTCTACTTGTGTTCAAAATTTTCGTGATAGAATAGACTATCGATAAAAATTTAAAACATCAACTTTTTCTATTGTTTTGATTTAAAAAAAATTAGCGAAAGTTAGACAAGTGTCTAAAAATAATCAAAATTTGCATGAAATTTGAACAATTTTTTTCAGTAAAATTTTTTGATTTATTATAAATTAATTAAATTATTCAGTTACATAATTTTTTACTGTAATATTATACAATTAGACCTCGAACCAAATACATAAATTAAGGAAAAGTACGTAATTTTTAAATTAGTACGTAAAAAGTCCTTAATTTTGACAAATAGTTGAAATATCTATTTTAAATATAACAATAAAATTAAAAATATATAAATAAAAAATTAATGAAGTCATTTTTTTTAAAATTGTGTAAAAAAATTTCAATTTATAGAAAATTAATTAAAATGAAGTTCCAGAAAGAAAATTTAATTCTAGGAAACATTTTTCAGGTGACGATGAATCGGAAGTTGAGCCCAGAAGTTCAGTTACACGACTCTCAGTGGACGGTAAATATTTTTCACTTTATTTTATTTATTGATATAAGAGTTGCTACTATATGCAGGAACTACTTATTTCTAACATAAATCATTATACTAATTTCTCTCACGAATGAAGTATTGTTCAACCGATTTCAGATGTGATTTTGTGATTATTGGTATAGTCTCTGGTTCTAAGATAACTTTCGAACCATTACTAAAATATTTTTCTTCATAATGAATTATTATTATATTATATTATATTATTATTATATTTTACTGTTTATTACTTTATCCCTTCGTACCACAAATTCAACACGAGAAAACCATTACAAATTACACTATTTTGAATAGAATAACACAAAATTATGATGCTGAAGTCTGAAACGTTTTCAAAAACGAAAAATTAAAATAGAATTATTTTTTCATGTCAATTTATCTCTAATTTTGATTTGCACAAACTTTCAAGAAATTAATACTTTTATTAAAACCAGTTACCCCGAATAACTTTAATTTTAACCCAAAGTAATAGATATTGTCTAATTATTTTTTCGTTTTCGTTTATAAAAACGTTGCGGACTTCAGCATCGTACAACATTATTAGAAATTATCTTTACAATAAAAAAAAAATTTAATAAAATTTGATTATCTAATTAATTTTGTTTTCCAGACATTGACCTGTATGGATTTTGTCCAGAAAGAGATAGTTTTTACGGAGTGGTTTGTGAAATATGCAACGCTATAGTGAAACCACAAGCTTTAATTCAGCATATGGGTATGTATCATTTATTAAGATATTTTATGATCAATAATTAAAGTTAAGGTACTACAGTAAATCCTCGTTAACACGAACAGCTTGTTAACACGAAACTCGAACAATATTTAAGGCCCTTACTCCCTTTTCAGCTCGGTTAACGCGAACTATATTTCTAAATTTTTTAAATATTATATTAAATTACATTGTATAGGAGCAAACAAGTTAAGAGATTCCTACCTAAAGTCCCACTCACTTTTCCACTTCTTAATTTATTTCTGATTTCAGTGATTCAGTTTAATAGTTCAGAATGTAGAAACAATTTAAAATCTTTTAGCCTACAGAAAAGCATAACAGACTATTTCAAATCCGTTTAAATATTATGCGATTCTTTATATAAATCTTTGTAATAAATGTTTATCAAGAAATATTGAATCTTGGTACGTTAAGCCAGTTATAATGACAACCTCGATAACATGAATTTTTTTAACACGAACAGAAAAATTTTCCTGTCCCTTCAAGTTCGTGTTAACGAGGATTTATTGTATTATACTGTTATGGGTGTATATAAATATATTCAAATTTTGAAATAGTTTCTTATTCTAAAACCAAAAGGCGCTTGATTCACTATCATGAACTATACATACACGGAGAGAAAAATCAAGTTGCAAAAAGACACTAAAAAGTTCATAAGGCAGAATACCCTCTAAAGATTTGCATTTTTACATTTAATAATATAATATCATTGATTCTATTTCAGAAACTAGACATCCATCTGGTATGGTAAATCTTCCTCCACCTTCTAATCCTATTACTAAATCTCCTATGAAGACACCATACTGTAAATTATCTAAATTAAAAAAAAGTCATTCAACGTCTCAGCTTCAAGTCAATCATACATCCATAAAAAGAAGTGGGGATCACGACAGTATACAGTCAACTATATCGCTTTCTGCTCCACATTCTCCATTGGAAACTTTATCAGGACATTCATCATTCTGTAATACAGTCGTTTCCTCAAGCCCTAACAAAAGTCCAATTACGGTTGGACAGACGAAAAGAAAAAGAATTAAGGCAGATCGTTCTCTGCTCAAGGATAGAGAATATGATCCCGATAAACATTGCGGTGTTTGGAATGATGAAACATCAAAACCATGTACTCGTTCTCTTACCTGTAAAGCGCATACTGTTTCGTTACGACGGACTGTCAGTGGAAGAAGCAAATCTTTTGACAAGTTATTAGCAGAACATCGTGCTGCAAAGGAATTACCGTCCAGACCTGCAAAATTTACTGTTACTGGCACAGTGACAGTGTCTTCTGACGTAACTAATCTAAAATCCTTAACTTCTAACACTCCCCTTTCTACAACAGAAACTGATACCCCTAGTTCGCCGCCTGTTTTATCACTGCCAGATACTTACCCACTGCCACAGGTAAGATATATTTATATTCTTTTTTATAAATTTATCCTTGTATTGAAATTTGTTTAATTACAAAGTGATAAAATTTTGTGAACATTTGTATAAATGATGGACCTTGCAATATAATATACTTATGAATTATTTTATCTATGATAATATAAAGGATAACATAATTTAATGCAGAAAATAGTTTTGATTAATTAAAACACAATTTTTTTTTGATAATTATAAATGGGACGTTTCGCGCCGACCGGCACACCCTTCCGTGCATAATTGAGAGCTTTTGAAATTATTGTTCATTCCTGGCAATTATTGGTATACATAAGTACTTTCGAAAACTAACTGGCTTTTTGAAAAATCCAATATGGCGGCTTCAATATAACCTGTAAATGCATCTAAAAACGTGAGATAAGTCATAAACATATAAATAAAAATTAATCTGATAAAGGATAAACATTAAAATTAGCACTTGTTAATATATTTTACTTATCATAAGTGGAAGCTATAAATTTCTAAAATTCAAAATGGTGGATCCAATATAGCGGACGAAAAATTCTTAAAATCCATCTAATTCGGTTAAAACTTGTTACTCAGGGGTCTTTAGGGTCGCTGACAATGAAACTTATATACATTTTTAAAAATTCAAAATGTCGGATTCATTATGGCGGACGAAAATTCTTAAAATTCACCGCATTCGTTTAAAACTTGTTACTTTAAACGTTTAAATGAACAAAATCATTTTTTGGTCTATAAATTTTTTAAAAACTGTTGTTAAATACATTATCAAAGACCATGAAAACTGCAAAATAATGATTTTCGTGTGATTTTCTTAATATCGAAAACTTTTGTCCGCCATATTAGATCCGGAATTTTGAATTTTTGAAAATTGAAATGAGATTCGTTGTCAGCGACCCCAAAAACCCCTGAGTAACAAGTTTTTACCGAATTAGATGGATTTTAAGAATTTTTCGTCCGCTATATTGGATCCACCATTTTGAATTTTAGAAATTTATAGCTTTCAGTTATGATAAGTAAAATATATTACCAAGTGCTAATTTTGATGTTCATATTCATGATTCCTTTATCAGATTAATTTTTATTTATATGTTTATGACTTATCTTACGTTTTTAGATGCATTTACAGGTTATATTGAAGCCGACATATTGGATTTTTCAAAAAGCCAGTTAGTTTTCGAAAGTACTTATGTATACCAATAATTGCCAGGTATGAACAATAATTTTAAAAGCTCTCAATTATGCACGGAAGGGTGTCCCGGTTGGCGCGAAACGTCCCAAATATGTTAGAAAATTTTGAATGAAGTATTATTTATATTTCACAATAAAAACAGATTTGTGTAAAAAATTTAACTTTCAATATTCATAAGTATTTATACATGCGTCGTCTCTCAGTAGATTCCATAGTTAGCATGAAGAAGTATAAGGAGACATATTTCCTGTACCAAAAATTCTTATTGACGTTTTTTATGTTCTAAACTTTTTAATTACATGTTCTAATAATGAGAGTAATAAGTTAAGTCAGTAAAAGCACAATTTTAAATGTCTGAAGTTACTTCATTGGACGGTACTTCATGTTAGGAAGCAAGTAAGTAAAGGAATTAAAATAAAGAACATAGAACTTCTGTGAACTAATGAAAATAAAAAAATTCACTGATATCTTATTTTAGTTAAATTAAACTAAATTTTGCAAATAATCTTTTCTTTCCTTTTCAGTACAGGTATTTTTATATCTTATCGACCCCTATCCAAGCGGTTGAAACAATAGTTATTTTGAACTATTTTATCAGAAACTAATAGACACTCTTTTTACAAATTTTCTCTTTTCTGGGTCAAAAATATGTCCAGAAAGTTAGAACAGTAAAGTTAAAATTTCCAAAAAACAAATATTGTGCTGAATTACGCTCATTTGTGCTAAAATTCATTTTTGGAAAAACTCAAAATTCCGGGAAAAAACATGAAAAAACTTATTTTAAACGACTTTAGAATTAAAAAAAAAAAACAAATATCGTGCTGAATTGTGCTCTACTTGTGCTATTTTGTGAAGAAATTCATTTTTTGAAAAACTTAAAATTCCAGGCAAAAAAATCAAAAAACTTTTTTTAGACGACTAAGTTTAAACTTTTCAAGAAAACAAATTTCGTGCTCAATTGTGTTCCACTTGTGCTCTTTAGTGCATAAATTAATTTTTTGATACTTCCCGAATTTTATTAATTTGATGATTTTTACCATCGGCTAATAATACTTCAATGAAAATATTTAGTTGATGTTTAATATTAAGTTCATTCATCGAAAATAGTAAATGAATGCATTTTTCATTAATTATAATTATAATTCGTACAACTGTTGAATTCGAGACAGTTGTAGCATGATATTGATGATTTGGAAGATTCACAAAACTAAACGATGCAATTGGATATGTTGGCATTTTTGATTAAATTTATTTTTCTGTTTCGGTTTTATAAATTATAATTTTGAAGTTGATTCTTTTTTAATTATACTAGTTTTTGCGTTAAAATTTTTTATTTTCAACTGCAAGATTAAATGAGATTGTAATCGGATGACGGTAATATATTTCCAATTAAATAATTGTTTTTCAAGGTTTTCAATTTTTTTATGGGAAACTTTCAACATGAACCTCATCTTTTAAGCTTTTCACTATTTCGGTATTAAAAGCGGAAATAGAATAGAATTTTGAAAAAGAAGAGATGTGTTTATAAACTCGATGACTTTTGAAATGAAACACTTTTCCGATAGATCCTGAATTGTTTTTGGTAACGGTAATTTTTACTTTTGTGTAACTTTAAACTACATACGAATTAGTTTTATCATTAATGGGTATGCAGTTTGGCTGTATGCAGTTAAAACTTTAAAGTTACACAATTTAAAGAATTATTTATTTTTATTAAATTTTTAAAGATATTTTGTATGCATTTTTGGCATATACAGTTAAACGGTGTAAAATTTATTAACAAATTTTTTTTTAATTTGATTTTAATTCGTATGCAGGTTTTCCGTATACACTTTCAATGTATGCAATTTAAAAATTGAATTGTTTTTTATAAAAACTTGTAAATGCAGCTTGTATACAGTTTTAATGTATTCAGTTTTAGAGTGTACATTTTATTTTTTAATTAGAATTGTCTATATATTTAATCCGTATGCAGTTTAGTGTAAGCAGTTTTCCCGTAAGTAGTTCGTTTGTGGGCACCTTGAACCGTCCCAAAAGTTTAAACTTAGAAGTATAAAAAAAGTTTTTTGATATTTTTGCTCGGAATTTTGAGTTTTCCCAAATTGAATTTTAGAACAAATGAGCACAAGTCGAGCACAATTCAGCAAAATTTTTGGTTTTTTGAAAATTTTAACTTTTTTGGTCTAACTTTCTGGACATGTCGAAAATTTTTTTGTGGATCAAATTTACCCAGTATGTTCTTCGAGGGTTAATTAAGAGCGTGGATATAAAAACGGCCTACATATTTATTTATTTAATCTATAATTTTCTCAATAGTGACAAAAAAAATTGATTCCGGTTTACCTGGTCATCTGAAACAGAAAATCAAAGACAATACTTAATCTGTGATATATTTGCTACCGTCCATACCTTGATTATTACTTATTATTGGAAATTAATTAATTAATTTAATTCAGAAGAACTGACATATGGCCATTTACCTGTAGTGTCGATTTGCCCCAGTCTCCACTATATAAAATTATTTATTTATATTTTTTATTATTTTATTATATCTATTATTAAATATTTATTTATATTTTTTATTAATTTTCAATTAGGAATTATATTATAAAGAAAAATATAATTCGAAAAGAATAAGATTGTGAATATTCCATTCAAATTAACCGCCATGCTCAATAGCCAATCAGCGACTCAACCAATCTACGTACTCCGTCCATGGTTTTTTCGATGTAAAATTTTGGCAGAAGAGTGGAGTCCAAAATTTTGAAAAAAAAAATTCATGTCATCATTTGTGAACGTTCCCTGGTGCCCGGCTGAAAAAACTTGTATAAGGAAATGTACAAGTTCTTGTACATGTTCATTAATGAACTCGTACATTTTCTTGTAGAGAGATTTCACGGATAAAACGAACAGTTGTCGGTGACAAGTTATCGATTTGGCTAAAAATTTTTTAGGCGTATTCTACCTCTAAAAATACTCAACTAGCCAAAGTTTCAAGCCTCTATCTCATAAAGAACACTCACAATCGTTAATTTTGTGAAAAGTAACATCTTTCAAAATGAAGATTGAAAAATCCATTTCTGCTAGAAAAAATGTTAATTTTGATCAAAAAAAAAATTGGAAAGGTACTAGTCGATAAGAAATTTTCCAAAGAATCTAATGCCGTTGGAATTTTTGAGCTATCTTTAAACGCATGCGCAGCAGATTAAAAAAACTGTTTTTTTTTAAATTCATAACTCAAAAACACCTATTTCGATTTGGCTCTAATTTTCAGGAAAGACAGCTGAAAAGCTATACTTTAAAATGGTTATACCTAAAATTTGCATATTTTGAGTTTTTAACCATTTTTATGCAAAATACTGAGCTAATTCAAAATTTTTCAAGGTATAATCAGAGTATAATCAGATTTACGCACGTGTATCATACAACATTCTTGCAACACCCACCTCTAAAGTTAAGTACCTATTATGAAGAATTACAACTCTCTATTAGAATAATTTTGATTGTATATAATTAAAAAAATCAATCGAAGATCAGGAAAAATATCATTAAGCAGGAGTGTATAAATTTAAAAGTAAAGTTCTTTTTTTAATTTTGTGATTTTGTATGGTCTAAAACAATCCTTATATTATGTGAGAAAAATTTCGGTGCGTAAAGTGAATCACTTTATACACCGTTTGAAAAAGAGCCTCTTTACACACACTTTTCGGTGTGTAAAATTTAACATTAGAGGTTACTGTTGCAAAAAATAATTTTTTTTAAATACTCTCATATTTGTAATGCTCTTAATTATAACTTGTATTTGTATTTTCTGTTAAAATTTGTTTAGAATAAATAAAAATTAACTGTGAATATAGATAACTGATTGGAAATTTTTCGAGGATTTTGAATTTGGGCTTAGTTTTTGTCTATATAACTGCGCATGCGCACAAAAAGGAAATACTATAAGGAAACCTTGAAAAACTTTGAATTAGCTCAGTATTTTGCATAAAAATGATTAAAAACTCAAAATATGCAAATTTTAGGTATAACCATTTTAAAGTATAGCTTTCCAGCCGTCTTTCCTGAAAATTAGAGCCAAATCGAAATAGGTGTTTTTGAGTTATGAATTTAAAAAAAAACAGTTTTTTTAATCTGCTGCGCATGCGTTTAAAGATAGCTCAAAAATTCCAACGGCATTGGATTCTTTGGAAAATTTCTTATCGACTAGTACCTTTCCAATTTTTTTTTTGACCAAAATTAACATTTTTTCTAGCAGAAATGGATTTTTCAGTCTTCATTTTGAAAGATGTTACTTTTCACAAAATTAACGATTGTGAGTGTTCTTTATGAGATAGAGGCTTGAAACTTTGGCTAGTTGAGTATTTTTAGAGGTAGAATACGCCTAAAAAATTTGAGCCAAATCGATAACTTGTCACCGACAACTGTTCCTTTTACCGGTGGAATCCCTCTGTATATATTCAAGTAATGTTCTTGAACAAGTTCAGCATCCGGAATTAAGACATGTTCTTTGTACACAGTTTTCTGAGGCTCTCAAATTGAGACCATAAGCAGCATCAAATCGTTGCATTATTAACAATTTGATACCCTTTTTGGTCTCAATTTGATATCCTCAGAAAAACTGTTTACCAGAACTTGTACAAGATCCTGGACAAGAAAATATACTTGTACAAGAAAATGTACATGTTCTTGTACGTATTTTTTTGTGCAGGTTTCATGTACATTTTCTTGTACCAGATGTGGAACATGTTGCGCAATAATTTTCAGCATGCATAAGTGAAGAGTCTTAATAATTATAACTTAATAAATTTTCAAAATTTTTTCAAAAACATTTTTAATCAAATGTTTTTTGGACAAGTATATTTTCTTGTCCAGGATCTTGTACAAGTTCAGATACAAGAACATGTCTCAATTCCGGATGCTGAACTTGTTCAAGAACATTACTTGAACATGTACAAGAACTTGTACATTTTCTTGTATGTACAAGTTTTTCAGCCGGGTGGAGAATGTCAGAACTGTAATTCACCTCGAATGTCAAGTTCATAAGCCGTACAGCTCGAAAATAAAGACGAATTGGTGATTTTAACCCACTCTAATTTACGAAAAAAGTAAATTTTAATTTGAAGGGTTATATATTATAAAATAAATAATTTATGGAAATTTCTCATAAAAAATCATGAATTAAATAATTTTAAAGCTTCCATTATAAGAAAGCTAATTGACGCAGAACAAGAATCTGTAAACAGAATTGCTCTATCAGCCTAGAATTCTGAGAAATTTGACCTTGAAAATTAAAAACCATGTATATTTTTCACTGTAACTTTAGTAATTAAAAAAATATGAGAAACCAGACAAAACCATCATACTTCTCAGAAAATTACCGACCGATTTAAAAAAAATTGTTTTCATTGGTTAATTTGAGTCCAAAATACAGTCGATCAAAGTTACTGGGTTAGGCTAACCTTAGGCTAACCCAGTCAGTGGCGTTTGTAACTTTTTTTATAGTCAGTACCCTGAGGGTTAAGGAAGATATGAGCTTTCAAGTTCATATGTTCAAAGACCAAAAAAAGTTTTTGTTCCAAAATAAAATAGTGTTTTTCAATTTTTAAGGTCAAATTTCTCGCAATCCTAAGATCGTGAAACAATTTTGTTTACTGATTCGTGTTCAGCGTTGGAAAACCTATAAAAATTGCCCACAAATAAAAGTGCTGCTGTACCGTGTTACAATAAAATAGAAAAATATATTCATGAGTTGAAAAATGGTTATAATCCTTATATAATTTGAAGAACTACCAAATTTTAAGTAAATTTGTTCAATTTTGGATAGAGGGGTGCGTGGCAAATTGACGTGAAATTACTGTTATTTTATAGCCATTGAAATAGATTCTAGGGATTTCTTTGCCTTTTTCTAGGAAAAAACTTAGTTAAATCACCCTAATATGTATTGTTTGGGGCGCATGATTATCCCATAAAAATCATTATTTAAAGATTTCGGCGCGATTTTTAAAATCCACCAATCACGATTTTCCATTTTCAATTATTACCTAAAAGTTCTGTTAATTAAAAATTCTTTAAAAAAGAAACTCTGACAAATGTTAATTCGAAAAATAAAAATTCGTATAAAAAATAATGATATCTAATGAAATGGTTGAAAATGAAAATTCTAACTAATAATTTTTGTGGGATAATCATGCGCTCCGTATTGTTTAAGATATTGTAATTTATTCTTTTAAAAAATATTACACTTTAACTCTTTTAAACCTGATTGTTTTAATGTAAGAAAGTAATGTTTTTTCTTCAGTATTGTAATATTTTTTATCAAAAGTAGGCAAAAAATATTATTTTTATGAAACATTTACTATAATTTTTTTTTAAATCTAATAAATATTTTTGATTTAAAATCATTGTTAGAAGTCTGATGGCAGGAACGCAATTCGATCTTTTCCGATGATTTATTTACTGTCTGTACATTATATATCCTACAAAAAACCATTCTATAAGTTAGAAGATTCTTTCCTAACCGATTATGAAAACAGCAATTTCACATTTTAAAATAATGTAAAATTTTCTTAAATGTTTATTCATTTGCTATCGAATTTACAGTCTTTTGTTTCCACTTTATATCTATATTTTGAAATCAAGCCAAGAAATAAGACACAATCAAGAAATATTTTATGGAATAAGAAATGTACAATTAGTTGAATGATCGGAAATAGTCGAATTTTGTTGCTACTTACCTCTTTCTTAGTTAAATTTATTTCGGTGACAAACAAATTTTTTAAAGTCTTAACTTACTATGCTCATGCCAATGGACATCAGTTTTGAAAGGGTTAATAATTGTACAAAAAAAGTAATCATTCTTAACAGTGTAATTATTATGTATTTAATTATTATTATTTATAAAAAGATTTTAATTTATTTTTACTGCGTTCTAAGTTGGATAAATTATTTTTTTTATGAGTTATAGTAGGTTGAAAAGTGGTCCGTGAAAATAAATTTGATTTCATTATGTTAAACCAGAATGTGGTATAATGTTTTCCTGAAAATTTATATTTAATCCAATCAGCCTGTTCTATATTCAGAAATGAGTGCCAGTTATCTCCTTTTACCTCCTTTTGTTTTGTTATTACAGGCTGTTGATTTGCTTTATCGGTGTCTGGCCCCGCATGGCTCCACTAAACCTGTAAGGCATGGTTTCTTTTGGGTTTTAAAACTGCTCCATATTTTAAAATGTGATTGTTCTATATCAGTCTTTCCTTTTTTAGACAAAACTGGAAGATGATTTTGCTAATGAAGAACTAAGACTGGAATCAACGTTAAATAAATCAACAAGCTCTACAACTGGCATGACAACATCAATATCAGTTGTTTTACCACCACTATCACCAAGATCATCAATAACCGAAGAATCTCCAGTAGCTATGTTGATTCCAGTAACTAGCTCATCAACAATTCAAATGGGAACAACGCTATTGCCAGTTAGACAACCAATCGTTACAATGGCTCTTGAAGCAAATGCGCCTATGGAAATTGATTCTGTAAATTCGTCTATTTATTCACCTGTCTCAATGTACAAGGACAATAATCATCTTGTACTTCAATTGCCACGATCAAATAATTCTCAACAATCTATTTCTAGAAACTATCAAACTCAAACTTCAATGTCTGTACTTAATATTTTCAATCCTACGGAACATATGGATTTTCAAAGAAATCAAATTAATGGTAAAAATGATTATAATGAAGATAATCAGAATAATTCTGTAAGTCGTCAAGTGAAAAGAAGTAAACATGATTATTGTCCAGAATTCTCAACAGCTATTCAAGTCGAAGCAACTACAACATCAACTCCATATCCTCATTTTGAGGATATTTCATGGTCAAATTGTCATCCTGAACCATTAGCCGTAAGCCGTTGGCTTCGAATTACATCTAGTCGAAAGCAGTATAATTTTAATATTCACTGACATAAAAGCCCTCCCACTCCAGGCTAAAAATTTTTACTGCATTTATCATCTACCTCTCGTATTATACTTTCGTTTATATATCTTTAGCCTGTTGATAAGGGAATATCTTAATTCTGTGTTGTCAACATTCGTTGCTTAAGTTGAGAACAATATTGAAGATAAATAGAAATTCAGAGTATCAGGACATTTAAGATACGAAGGAGAACATTAGACTATTCATGCAACGCGTACAATGCTTTTTTAAAAACATCCATTAATGTAGTGCTGAACAATATATATTGCCATCGACAAAAATTTTGCGAATAATGCGAGTCATTGAAAAATATACTCGCATTAAAATTGAGATCTACAAAAATAAACGTAGAGACTTTTCTTTATTGTTTTGGAAAGCTTATTTATTTATTTCGAATTTTTGACTCTGACTTCTTGAATGGTCCAGAAATATTTAGACAGACGTCTGTTTAATATAAGTAATCCGTGGAATAAAAGGTTTCCATTGATCCCAAGAACAATAATAAATGTTGCCAGGTTTTTTAGTAATTAAAAAAAATAGTGCGAATGTACCTGTCGTATCTTTTTAATATGTATCATTTTTTCGAAATTTAATTTCCAGCGCAAGAAAGAAAAAGTCACTATGTTTTTATAAAAGTTATTTTTATTTTTATATTTTTCAATAACTCGCGACGTTAGCGTTTAAAAAATTTCCGCCGGTAGTTTATATATATTAAGGTGAAAAAATTTGTATGAATTTCAAAAAAGGGTCTGAAATTGTTTTTATAGAAGTTTAAAAATTTTTTTGGAGTAGAAAATTTTTTTTTGTATTGTGGACATCCCAATATACGTAATAAATTAAAATATGGGTTCACTGTTGTAAATGTTCAATTATAAATACTCTTTTTTTGTGACTGTTATTGAATACATTTTGTATAGAGACTAAGGCTGTGCAATTTAATTCCTAAAATAATTTGATTAACGAACATGTCTCCTAACAAATTGAATAAAATAAATTTATGACTTCGAAAATAACGTAAAAATTGTATTAAAAAAAATCGTAATTCTCAATATAAGAAATATTTTTTAATTAAAAACTACACGGAGAGAACTCTGTTACTAATAACGCACAAGTAGGTGCCATTCGCTTTTCGTAACAGAAGCGCCTTGCTAATTTAGGTCAGATTCATGCGTTATGTGCAACACTAGTTTCAGTGCGCGAATAGTAAAAGTCACGTACAAATTCTCCACTCAACTGTTGCTACAAACGCTCCACACCTCTGTGTGCTGCATTTGCTCGAAATCCATGAAAAATCAGCATGGATTTCTTGCAAATCGAGCTGAAACGTAACGCGCAGGCGTCGTGAATTTCGTCAGTGAAAGAAATCGAAACGCATAGGAATAGAAATTCGTCACGCACGCGCGTTACGTTTTTCCTCGATTTGCAAGAAATCCATGCTGATTTTTCATGGATTTCGAGCAAATGCAGCAAAGAAAGGTGTTGTGCATTTTCGTCATGTTTCTGGAGCGTTTGTTGCATACACTTGTTGTAGAATTAGTATGTGGACTTATACTAATATTTCACACAGCACCGTTTTGCTATAAACTCATAAATTCGTGAAAAAATAACTCCAGTCTCAAGCGATATTTCCAAAACATATTCTGTTGGAAAAATAGTAACAGCCCGTCGTGCAATATTCGTAAGAGAGTTCTCTTCGTGTATTTTTTTCTTTTTTCCACTAACGCAGTTTTGTTCATTAGTAAATAGTAATTTTCTTAATTTATAAAACATTTTTGTTTAGATTTGATAATAGGAAATTTTTTTTTAAATCTAACATAATATGTACATATTTGTAATTGTTGTGATTATGTACATATGCCGAATAGCGATGTAACATTAAACACCTCTCACATATTTTATCATTCTAGTCTATAATTAGTTAACCGATTTTTTTATTAATATTTTATAAATATTAATTTTTCTCAAAAAAATGTTGAAATTAGATGCTTTCTACTGTAGTACATTGTGTACTGTATCATCAGTAATCATCATCTGATTTCGAATTTTTATTTTCTAAAAAAATGATAAAATTCTGAAAGGAATGACGCTTAAACGAAGAGGTTATATTAATCTTTGTGTTAGTTTTTTTTAACACTTTCTTTAATTTTTAATTATATTTACAAACATGTTCTCCTTTAAAAGTTACCAGACATAAGAGTTAAAAATAAGAATAAGCGTATTCTATAAGGAGGTAACATGGAAGATCTTATTTATTATTCATTTTTCGCAAAACATATCCGTAATAAACCATGTAAATTGCAAATTTTGTAAAGCGTAATATTACATACCTCAGTAATGCTCACGATAATGTATGTGAAATAAAATGCTAATAAGAAATATTTTAGATTATTCTAAAAGTTAATGACACATGACATGTAACGGATCATGTGAAAAATATTTCAGGTTCTTCTACAATACTTAAAATGCATCAAATGGAACAAAGTGAGAGGTGTTTTTTTTTTAATAATAAATTTTATATTTCTGGTTGTGAAGTTAATTATTTCATTAAAAATTTTTTTTTTAACACAATGGACTAAAAATTTGGGATATTAAAGGACACAAAAATAGTTTGTGTCAATATTTATATGATCAAATATCTCGAATCTTTAATTTTGACTTCGAAAAAAAATGTAATGGCATATAAATAAAAATTTGTATATAAGTTAAGATAATCGAAGAGAATTAAATTTTATACTTGAACATATAACATTTTGAAGATTTCATACGTTTTTACATTTTTTTAATAACGTTTTCTTTAATAGGTTAGGCACACCTTTATATCCTTCACTGTCAATTGAGGCTCCCGATTCAAGAACCGGTCAGACGCTCAGGACGTATTTTCTCAAAACAGACACTATACAAAAATGTCAATAACATTTAGTTTCAAATATTTGATTTTTAAAATATACTACTTTGTAGAAAATAAGAAATCAAAATTTTGACTTAATTTTATTGCCATTTTTGTGCGTTGGCAGATTTGAGGCGGTGCGTCCCGAGCGTCCGATTGGTTCTTGAATCGGGAGTCTCAATTTTTTTATATTTGAATATTCAGGTTTTCTTTATTATTTCTCATTTTTAATTTTCTTAATTTAATATTTATTATATGTTATTGAATAATTTTAATATTTCACATTAAAAAAGTACTTAATTTTTTAAAAACACTGGTCACCGTTTCAATATGTTTTATGCTGATTTGATTATAATTCGGTCAGAGCTGTTTCAGTCGAATGACTTGCTTTATAGGCATGTTGATCTACATAAAGCGGTTTTCTTTCCAGAATCTTATTGCGGACATATTTATTTAACTACTCTTTTTAATACCATTTTCAGGATGAAAGATGTCAGGCTAATTGAACGGAATTTTTTTTGGTGAGGTATATCCATTCTTCCCTGCTTTGAGTATGAAGACAGCTTTGGTATCTCTCCATGTAAGGGCTGAAAGATTCCAAGACCTATCTGATGATTCCAGATCTTGAAAAGCCCGGAAAATGTGTCCGGACCAAATTAACTAATTGTAAGGTCTTCTCAGGCTCGGCAAATCTTACGTCAGGCAATCTTACGGTGCCGAAAATAGTGACAGGACATGGGTTTCCATCCCAACCAATTGAAAATTTGTTGGACAAGGCGAATTAATTGCCTCGGACGGAAATTTTACCGGCGGATCCACTGATCTGCCGGCACCAACTGACGCCGAGGGTCTTGCTCCTGAGGAGTATAGGTGTGATATCCTGGGTTGCGTGAAAGTATGCTAGTCCGCGACCAGTCTGAAACTTCATAAGAAGGTTCAAACGAGGGAAGCCCCGTAAGTTCCAGAGGAATATTCTTCTGATATTCCGGGAAGCGGTAAAAGCTTCTCTTTGTCTTCGGTTTGGGATTGTATATGAAGCGCAAGCACCCTGTGGAGAGAGACGAGAGCGTGAAGGAGTGGTGAATGAGAGAGAGGTGGTAGGGCTGGCTTTATGAATGTTGTCTTGAGGAAGTCTTTCCCTCATATAACCTTGGAATCTATCAAAGGGCATAGAAGTTTGGCGACATATAAAAGGATGGTGGAGGAGTTTGCTGTTGGATTGTAGGAGCAGGTGGAGGTGGATCTAAGTTCTATAGATCCAATTTCAGCTGATGCTCGTAAATACAACTAATTTTAAAAATACTTGGATCGTCGTAAAGTACAGGGTTCAAGCTTTAATTTGACTCCTATGGCAAGTCTCTAGCACGTCGGATTTACCCGGTAGAAATTTTCAAAAACTGTCAAAAACGTAATTTTTGGGACTTTTACCCTCACTTTTTTCAAAATTCTGACATGATGGGAAGTTTTCGTTGCCAGATTCAGATTCAGCGCACCAAAAACTACGGGAAGTGACTTCCCGATCTTTGACAATGGGAATTTTGTTTTTTTTGCAGGCTTGTGATATCATATAAAATCCTAAAGATTTCCTTATATAAAATTTTACATAAATGTATTAATGTAGGAAACAATGAAATTTCATGTAGATTTTGAAATAATTACCTAAGATTTCATGCATGTAAACTTAGCTCCCCACTTTAAAAAATTAAATTTTTTTTTAGAGTTCTGACTTTATGAAGAATAGTTCTAGAGTTACTTATAGGTTTTAGAAATAGTTCCGGCGATTAAGCCTTAAAACTATCGATTTTTCAAAATGGGGGGCTAACTAACTTCTAACAGAGTTCTAGAGTTCTCAATAATTCAAAAATAGTTCTGCCCATATTCAGTTAAAATTTTGTTTTTAAATTCAAAAAATTGTATAGTCACGAACAACACGAGTTCTGATGGGAATTCTGTTTGCCCCCATTGAGTTCTACAAAAGGGGAGATTTTTCCTAAACTCAAAATTGAAGAAACTATAGAACTTTGAAATTAAAAAAAAAAAAAATGTTTAAAATTTGAGTTCCAAGAGTTTTGATGGGAGTTCTGCTGTATGACACCTATAAAGTTCCAAGAGTTCTGATGAGAGTTCTGTTTGCCTCCCACTAAATTCTACAAAAGACAATGATAAAAGTTTTTCCTAAACTCAAAATTGAAGAAACTCCAGAACTTTGAAAATTCAAAAAAAAAAATTATTTATTTAAAAATTGAGTTCCAAGAGTTGTGATGGGACTTCTGTATGACATCTTTGTTTGGAGTTCCAAGAGTTCTGATGAGAGTTCTGTTTGCCCCCCACAGAGTTCTACAAAAAACACTAATAATTTTTTTTCTAAACTCAAAATTAAAGAAACTACAGAACTTTGAAATTTAAAAAAAAAAATTTATTTAAAATTTGAGTTCCAAAAGTTCTGATGAGAGTTCTGTTTGCCCCCCACTAAGTTGTACAAAAAACCATTATAAATTTTTTTTCTAAACTAAAAACTAAAAAAACCACAGAACTTTGAATTTGCAAAAAAATATAAATATTTCAAATCCGTTTTTCAAGAGTTTATTTAAGAGTTCCAAGATTTCTGATGGGAGTTATGTTGGCTTCTTATCGAGTACTAGGAAGAAGTTGCATAAAATATTTTTGTAACTTTATATGTAAATAACTTCAGGATTTTGGAATTTCGAGAAATTGCATTTTTTAAAATTGAGTTTTTAGTGTTCTTATGAGAATTATGTTGTAACTTTAACTTTAAGATGGTTGTAATTTTTTTAAGAAGAATTTTAAAATAAATTTAATATTTTTTTTTTTATTTTTACATAATATTTTTTTGCAACAAATAATTTAAATTAAATTAATTTAATAATTTGATTTTAAAGTTGTTTATTTAAATGAACTGTTTTTTGCGTTAGGATTTTGAATTATTTAGTAAAATTTGTATTTAATTTTATTGTTTTGTTATTGTAACATTAAATTGTTTTGTTATTATTGTAACATTTAAATTTTTATTAGCCAAAAGTTTTGAACGGTTAAATCAGAACTCTTGGAACTCAAAGGGAGTCAAACAGAACTCTCATCAAAACACTTGGAACTCAATTTAAAAAATTTTTTTTTTGAAATTTCAAAGTTCTGTAGTTTTTTTAGTTTTTAGTTTAGAAAAAAAATGTATCAAAGTTTTTTGTAAAACTCAGTGGGGGGCAAACAGAACTCCCATCAGAACTCGTGTTGTTCGTGACTATAAAATTTTTTGAATTTAAAAACAAAATTTTAACTGAATATGGGCAGAACTATTTTTGAAAATTATTGAGAACTCTAGAACTCTGTTAGAACTATTCAGAACTCTAAAAAATTTCATTTTTTAAGAAGTGGGGGGCTGCGTGAAGTTAGCCCCCCATTATGAAAAATCGATATTTTTAAGGCTTAATCGCCGGAATTATTTCTAAAACCCATCAGAAACTCTAGAACTATTCTTCAGAAAGTCAGAACTCTAAAAAAAAATTTAATTTTTTAAAGTGGGGAGCTAAGTTTACATGCATGAAATCTTAGGTTGATATTTCAAAATCTATATGAAATCTCATATTGTTTCCTACATTAATACATTTATGTAATATTTTATATAAGGAAATCTTTAGGATTTTATATGATATCACAAGCCTGCAAAAAAAACAAAATTTCCGTTGTCAAAGATCGGGAAGTCATTTCCCGTAGTTTTTGGTGCGCTGAATCCTTGATAAAGTAGTTCGATTTATTCAAAATATATTTGAATTGAATTGATTGAATGTTTTGTAAGTTAACTCAGCTACATTAACTTTCATTTTTTAAAAATATTTATTAAATTGACAAAATATAAAGAAAAAAAATATTTTTAATGATAAATGAAAAAAAATAAAAAGCTTAAAACTCGATCGTGATTTTTCGAGCTTTTTGTTTTTCGAGTCGAGCCGAGTCGAGCATTATTAATTCGAGCTCGAGTCGAGTTTGAGTCGACCCAAGCTGTATAAAAAACTCGAAAATTTTCGAGTAACCGAATATTTCGAGTACTTGAAATAATCGAGTACTTGTGTAAATTGAATTTGAATATTCGATTGTTTGTAAGCTATTTACTATTTTTTCATGAGTTTGTAATTTCAAAATGTAGTCATTCATTTATCTGTTGATTAATTGAGTCATTTTTGAAAAACAATAAAAATTGAACGTTTAATATGCTCGAATTCATTCCAGTACTCGGAATTTTCGAGTACTCGAATTAACTCGAGTGCTCGAAAAATTCGATTACTCGATACCTCGAGTAAAGCTCGGGCTCGACCTGGCTCGGCTCGATATTCGAGCTTTTTGCACACCTCTAAATAATATAGGAATTCGGAAATATCCTAAGATTTTAGGAAGTATCCGAATTTACTAGTGATTCTTAGGCATTTTCCGAATTGCCTATAAGCATTTAGCGAATTGCCTGGACTTCGGGTTTTGCCGGTAACATATGGAAACACTGAAAAGAATATTGTACTGGGTAACATAATAATTGTACTGGTGATCATATTTAATGCTACAAATACCGACAGCATTCTAGATTGTAAAATTACAATCGTTCGTTTTTGTTAATAACTTTATCAAAAATTAATATAAAATCGCACTGTTTTAAAGGATAAAGTATTATGTGCTAATAATGATTTCCTTAAAGTTTTATGGTAATCAGTTTGTTATTGACGAAAATATTAAATAATTTTTAAACCAACACTTCTAAACGATAATTTTTTCAATCTTGAATTTCGGAAAAATATGCTTATCATTTACAGATATGGATAATTTTTTTTAATATAATTGTAAAAGGTAATAGTTTCTAAAAACTATATTTTTAATATTAAAAACAAGTTGAAAAAATTTTTTTTTTAATATGTTTGAACTATTATCGTGGGGTAAGTAGTCGAACTTACCCGCACCTCAGACGAATTTATCAATTTTTTACTGACACTTTAAAAATAATTTATTCAATGTTTTCATCAATAAAAAATTCAAAATAATTTTTTTTCTTATACATGAATGTTGTCTTCTTACTATAAAACAGTTTTTATACTTGAACAATATAATTAAATAATTTTTTTTACTCTTTCCTTTTTTTGGGCAAACTTACCCGACTCTCCCCTATCTAGATTGTGCAGGGTAACATAACAATACTTTGTGTAACTTCTTTAATGGTACCTATAGGTACCACTAAACCATTTATGTTTACCATTTATGCTACTATAGTAGTATAAATATTGTACCGAGTAACATCTACTTTTTAACATTAAATTTTTATAATCCATTTCTCTTAGTGAAGAAACTATATAACCGATCTCATCCCTGTACTGGAAAATTCTATATAGGTTCCTGTAAAGAATCCAATAAGGATCCCACATGCATTTTTATTGGATTCTTCATAGAAACCTATGTAGTTTACATACAAGAATTCATCTAGATTAATTATATTCCTATGTAAGGTTCTTTTAAGGGGGGGGGGGGGTATGGTTAATTCGGTGTAAAAAAGGCACTTTTTAAATAATTTTTTTCGGTTATATAAAGTGTGTTACTTTTTTAACTTAATTTCCACATATTAATACAATATTTGAAGTATATTTTCCTAAATTCTCATTGAAAAATATTGCAAATTGAACGAGTGGCAGTAAATCTCTTCAGGCGCCTCGTAAAAAAATGGATTTGCAGTGTTTTTCGAGAAAAACGCAATTTTGATAATTAATATTGCATATTAACAAATATTGTACTTATAACACTTAAAACTAAGAATGAAAAATCTCGCACGCATGGGGGATCGAACCATAAACCCTAAGAACGCAAATTGGATACGCACAGCCGCGCTGGCTTGAAGTAGTTCATCTTAATGCAAAAGTTTTGATTTCAATGACCGTATTATCTATTTATCACGAAAATAAAATGAATTCAATCTAGAATTTTTTTACATCACAAAAATTTATAATTATTTCAAAGATTTTATGAAATAAAACTGTATAGGAATTTCAGTTTAATATTATTAATAAATTATTTTTACCGTAAATAAGTATATTAAAACAAAAAAAATGATTAATGAATTACACAATTAAAAGTAAGTTAATAAACAATATTAATAAAAAATCATCGTTTTCTACCTATTAGAACAATTTTAAGAATTTTTTATTTAATGTTTTTTTACAAGCGACATAGTACTGATTCAATGTGTATGACAGTCTACTGCCAGTACTGGTTTTAATATTTTTTCACCTTCGATATAGTACTGATTCGGTGTGTATGACAAGCCACTAACAGTACTGGTTTTAGTATTTTTTTACCTCCGACATAGTACTGATTCGGTGTATAAGTCAGTACACTGCCAGTACTGAAAGTCAATACTGACGGCTAGTATTGGGTCAGTACCATGCTGGTGCTCAATTCCGGCGAGCTACGGACATTTCTACTGTGGTGTTTGTCATCTCCCCGTCAGTCTGCCCCTGAAGTATAGCAACACAATATACACCCAAGTCCTAACGCAAAAATAAGCTTTTTATTAAAAAAATTTTTAACTTTCAATTATATTATATTAATTTAAATTGCTCTTTATTATAAATAAATGAATATTTTCAGAAATTAATTTCGTAAGTTTATTTCCCTTAAATTAGAATTTTGCAAAATCGAGATTGAATTTTTTAGAAATTATTTTTTAAGAAAATATATACGAGATGAAGAATCTTATTTTTTATATGAAATATATTTATGAAAAATATATATACGAGTACTAGAAATACTGAGTGTTTCTGCATATATGAGGCTTTTTTTCGCTAATCTCAAAAAAATAATATTAAAAAAATATGGTATATTACATCAAAGTGTGTTATGTAAAAGAAAATTATTCGATATTAATAATTTTGAATCTGTATGTTTGTTTGGAAAACTGTATTTATGAGCTGTTAAGTATTTTCTTTTCTATGAAATAATTACTTTAGTTTCTTTTTTTACTCTCTCTCTGTCTCTTTCTCTCTTTCTATAATCTGACTTTCAGCGCCAATGGAGTGGCAATGGACCAAACCTCATAAGTGTTTCTACCACCACGTCAGAGCATCAACAACCTACACGACCAAGCGAATGGAAAGTTCTCCTTTCATCATGATTTGGAGTCGTATCAGTACATACCTAACCGTTCTCGGGCTTTGGTACCTGAAAGTACCCAACCTAACAGAAATAAACGTCTTTGTTGGTATTACTGTAACGAAAAAAAATGTATTTTTATAGTAATAATTTATGTTATATTCAAGTATAAAGATAAGAACATACAATTTCTATAAGATTATATTTATATATATATATATATATTTTTTTTTTCTATTTATAAATCATAATGAACGGTACCCAAGCTCCCTTCATTCCGCATAAATGTTTTTTATCTGTTGCGAGAAGAAAAGATTTATTTGAATGTTTTTTCGTGTGTGGATTGAAATGATTGTTAATAACATGTTTATTAAAAATTTTCTACTATTAGTGATGATAATGATAGAGAAAAATATGTGCCATGATATTAAAAATCAACTATATAGACAATATACAAATTGGAAAAAAGAGATGTTTACTCAATCTTATTTTATCCTATAACTGAAACTACATTTCTGCATTTGGTAAGGAACCTATTAACATATTATTTTACCTACATCAAATTAAATTATTTCTCATATTATACGATAAGTAATATTAATAATAATAATAATAATAATTTAATAATAATAGTAATAATAATATATAATAAATATTATTATTTATTTAGTGAAAAGATAATATATTATAAATCGTGCGATGCAGCATAAAAGTTTAATATTATTAAACATTCCAGGAATGTTAGAAAGGGACTTTTAGGAACCTATTATAATTTTTAAGTAAATGTTTATGAATATTCAGAAGAAACATTACATAAAGATTCTGGAAAATAGTTCTTCACTTATTTTACTAACTTTATTTCTTATTTTTATAATTCATTTTATTTAAAATATTTTAAATTTAAATTAAATATTTCAACATTTTTGAAAAATGTATTGCAAATCTTCTAATTTACACTTGCAAACTTACCACAAGGGAGAAATGTTTGTACCTACATCTAAAATGCTTGTTGCAAATTTTTGATTTAGTGTTTTTTTACCAAATTGTGTATAAAATTCCTGAAAAATATTATGTTACAAAAATTATTATGTTTACCTTTAGTAAAATTACATTTTTCAGTAATTATAAAATTAGATTATTTTTTTTTTAAATTGAACCATCTTGTTAATATATATATGAAGGACTCTAGAGTTCTTAGAATATGTACAGTGACATGAACTCACGGCGACAAGTTTTTGCAGAAGTTTACGTGGTAAAATTTAAACTGATACGCATGCGCAACTATGGCATTTCTGTTTCAAATAAACCTGTACGCAATAAATTTTAATCGTTTTTCTAAGTGTAGTCAAGCAATGTTTGTAAAAATATTAATAAATATTTTTAAAAATTTAATTTATCTACAAAACTTGATGAAAACTATTTATAAATTTGTAGAAAAAAACTTAGAAAACACTGTGCAAATTTTTCTTGCAAGGGGTAGATTACGTAACTATTTCCGGATTCTACATTTCGGAACCTACAATCTGGATCCCACATTTCGGATTCCATATTTTTTATTCCACATTCCGGATTCCGCTATCCACATTCCATATTACGAAACCCAGATTCCAAATCCCACATTCCGTGTATTTCGTATTCCACATTGCGGATCCCACAACAAACAAATAACATTATAACGAAAATTAATATTAATAAATCTTGAAAAAGTTGAGTAATTGACCCCCTGAATTTTACAATGTAAAATTTTCGTAAAATATAATGATAATTTAAAAATTTGTTTACACATGGATTAAATTACTTTTTATTTTACAGAATTTTTAAGTACCGAATTTTTATTTGTCAGAATGTTTATTTTACAGAATTTTTCTTTACACAACTGTTTATTTAAAAGAATTTTAATTTAACCGAATTTTAATTTAGAATGATTCTCTTTCAAAAGAATTTTAATTATAATTCGAATTTTGAAGTTTCAGAATTTCCAATATACCGAATCTTCATTTATCCTAATTTTTTTATTTGCACCAATTGTTATTTGATAGAATTCTGAAAACGTTGAATCTTCATATCTTCGAAATTGCAAATGAGTGAATGAAAAATCGACAGAAATATTTCGGCGCAATTTTAAAATTGACTAATCAAATATATATTATCAAGAAAATCGTGATTGATAAACTTTAAAAATTGCGTTGAAATCTTTCTGTTGCTTATTTGTCCAGACATTTGTAATTTATGACAAATAAAAATTCGTCGTTTTAAAAATTCTATCAAATAACTATTCGTACAAACAAATATTCGGACAAATGAAACTTCGGTGAATTAGAATTGTTGACATTTAAAATTCGAATCACTTAAAATTTTGTTGAATGAAAATCATCCTAAATTAAAATTCGGTTGAATTAGAATTATTTTGAATAAAACGTTTAATAAAGAAAAATTCTATGAAATAAAAATTTTGTCAAATAAATATTCAGTATCTATAAAAATTCTATTACGTAAACATTCGTTTATAAAGAAATTCTGTTAAATGCTAATTCGAAAAATTAAAATTCGTCTTAAAAATAAGTGATTGATTATTTGACTCGTAACAAATAATTGTTTGGTTAAATAAATATTGCCAAATAATAAAAATTTTTGCATTTATTTGTTTTTTTAATCATTTATCATGAAATTATCAAAAATTATTTTATTATTTTGTTTTATTATATTGAAAAAAAATTGAGAAAGCAAAAAAATAGTTAAACATGAAAAAATGAATGATAAGCGAAAAAGGAGTCTGGAAAGAGAAAAAAGATACGAGGTAAACAGAAAATATCTGTAGAAGTCACTTAAACTGTTTTTCATAGCAAAATTTATTTTTATTTAATTCAAACTTTTTGCACATAAAAAAAGGTTTTAAATTATATTAAAAATAATTTTTTTATAGAATTCCTTGATAACTATCTCAAAAAACTCATAACTTCGTTAATTTTTAACCTATTTTATCGACTAAATTCAAAACCCTATTAAAAATCCCTGTACAAGATCTTGCCGCAATTAGTGCATTTACCCTACTTATAAAAGAAAATAATAAATTTCTCTTTTTTAAAACGTAAATAACTATATTATTTCAAATGTTTTGAAATTTCTTTTAAAGAACACGATAAATAAAACTTATTTGTTTTTAACTTTGGACAAGGAACTGAAGAAATATAATTTTCTGTATTATAATATCCGTGAGCATCCATGTTTATAACGTTTAATATTTGGTTTTGTAAACATTTTTGTATCATATAAAAAATTTATTTGTTTCAATAGATTGAAAAGAAAAAAATTTTTCAGTTTAAAAATATTAAAATATTTATTAATTAATAAATTTATTTATGCTTCAATAACTCTGACAATCTTAGTCAATTTTTATTAATGATATCTCAATGGGTACATTTTTTTTACTATTTCATATATTTATTAAATAACAACAAATAAATAATTATTATTAACTTATTTGTAAAAAATAATTGCCTTTACTTACCAATATTAGTCTATTTTTATTATCCAGCATAAAAATATATGTACCTAAATTCAGGTTATGTTTTTCAAAACAATATGACAGCTAACAGATCAAAACAGATATTTCTTGACATGCGTACGTTGATGGTATCTATCTGTTTTTTTCGCCACCTTTGGGCAAGCTGAGTACTTGTCTTAGCTTAAGACGAATCTTGGCACCATTTTAGTGAAGTAAATGCATGGGAGATTGGTCTCTTGTAGTCTATTCTTCATGCTGTAAACATTCGGTACCGCCACCGATGGCAAAGTTGTTATACTTCAGCATCAACTGTAATACCACAATATTACAAGTATTACACAGTATTACATGGTATTACACAATAATACTTATTATTACAAAACATTCGATACCGCCACCTATGGCAAAGTTGTTATACTTCAGCATCAACCATAATACCACAATATTACAAGTATTACACAGTATTACATGGTATTACACAATAATACTTATTATTACAAAACATTCGATACCGCCACCTATGGCAAAGTTGTTATACTTCAGTATCAACCATAATACCACAATATTACAAGTATTACATGGTATTACACAACAATACTTATTATTACAAGACATTACAAAATATTACAGGTATTACCGAGTATTACCAGGCAAGTTTACACTTGATTACCAGAGTAAATTCCCCCTCGTGTAATGTTTAATCAATCTTTGCAAAATTCATTACTCGGGGGTTTTTGGGGACGCTGATTGAGAATCTGAAGTCGGTTTTTAATAATTTAAAACGGTGTATCCAATATGGCGATCATCAAACTTGAAAATTTGTTGGGTTTTAAGAAGTCATGTCATTCAGAGGTTTTTCGGGTCGCTGATTATGAATCTGAAGTCAGTTTTTGAGAGTTTAAAATGGTGGATACAATATGGCGGATAATTTAGAGAAATAAATGAAGTTGTAAATTAAAAAAAAATAAAACAAAAAAACACTAAAAATTTGTTTTTATTATAATTAAAATTATATAATTTTAATAATAATAAATAATTTCTTTCAATCAACCTCTTCTTACTGGAAAGCTTATCTATTGACAACTTATCATTCACTTTATCAATAGCTTTAGTATGTTCTGTGTAGATTACATCAACTTGAGAATAATCATTCAATATAAGTCATTGATATGTTGCGTGAAAACTAATAAATTTGTTATTGTTGATTATCTGGATATTAAACCATGTTTATATATGGGTCATTCTATACGAGAATAGGGACAACCCCGATCTTAATTTGTTTTTCAATATTACTTTTAAGTACATATAATTATAATTTATTAAAAATTTATTAATCGAAGGAAAATACATAGATGTAGATTTTGTAGTAAATTTAATGTCGTTTGACATCATGGTAGTAATTTTTAAGATTAGATTAATTTTAATTTCAAAATTCAAAAAAAAAAATTTAATCAACTTTTTATTTATTTTTAATCATTCTTAAAATATTTAAAAATATCTTAAACGATAGCTTAAATTTTGTAGATTTTATATAGAGGAGAGTCGGGTAATTTCGAACAAAAAAAAGATAGGGTAAATAAAAATTATGAAATTATATTATTTAATTATATAAACTGTTTTATGGTAAGAATACAACATTCAAGAATTAAAAAAAAATTATTTTGAATTATTTATTAATGGAAACATTGATTAAATTATAATTAAAGTGTCAGTGGAAATTTTTTTTTTAAATGTCCCAAGTGGAGAAAATTTGATTATTATCTTAAATTTGAAGAAGAAAGGCTTTTGTTAAAAAAATTAAAAAATTTGGATTTTGTATTCTAAAAGTAGAGAAAAAAAATCTTCTTTAATTTATATAATAGAAGTTTTAATGTACCATAGCCCCTGTAACTTGACAACCCGTTGTAACTTGAAAAATCGTGATCAGTGTCACCAATAATTGCCGATTAATAAATTTTACTCAAAATTAAGCAAAAAAAAAAATGCTATACGCATCATGACTTTTAACAAATTGTTCATAACAATTATTATTTATTATTATTAAACACATATAGAAACGAATTATTTTTAAGATTAAAGAGTTTTTTCGGTGATTTTAATCATTTCACAATACTGATCAATTATACTGGTCGACCAAATTTTGCCACACGAGCAAACGTTGATGATTCTTATAGGATTTTTAGCGTAGATTACGAATCCGTCAACGGAACTTGTCCATCAAGTCTCAATTTTGAGAAAAACGGCGTCAAAGTGTTCAAAAATGGACTTTTTAGCACTTTTTCAAGCACTCCAAGAAATTAATACGCCGTGATAAACAGCTCAAATAGGGTTTAAAAGAGAGCTTATACCTTCAACTTTAATCTCCAAAAACAAAAACCTGTGTGGCAATATTGGAAAATTGTAAGGTAAAACTTTTTACCCCGTGCGCACAGCAATTTCAATGTGGAGAGCGAATTTTTGAAAAATTAATGGACTTTCTATAAATGTATCTAGAAGTTTTCGAGATCGCAGATTACGAATCTGAAGTCACTTTTTAAAAATTCAAAATGGCCGGTTCAGTATGTTGAATCCCTAGATACAAAATTTTTAAGAAAATCTATTGCACGGAGAGAAATAGATGGTACGGGGTACTATCTAGATAATACCAGGTACCATATTTGATCTTACATATACGGACAGTAATCTAGATTATATCAGTTACTATCCAGATTGTACGGAGTAACATCTTGATTGTGCTGGGTAACATAACCATACTTTTTCTAACATCTTTGATAGTACCGAGTAGCATAATGATGGTACCGGATAACATCTACTTTTTACCATCTTAAGATCGTAAATTCTTACCATCTATTTCTCTCCGTGTGCTTTTTTAGAAATTTGGTCGCCATATTGGATCCGCCATTTAAAATTTTTAAAAAGTGACTTCAGATTCGTAATCTGCGATCTCGAAAACTTCTAGATACATTTATAGAAAGTCCATTAATTTTTCAAAAATTCCCTCTCCACATTGAAATTGCTGTGCGCACGGGGTAAAAAGTTTTACCTTACAATTTTCCAATATTGCCACACAGGTTTTTGTTTTTGGAGATTAAAGTTGAAGGTATAAGCTCTCTTTTAAACCCTATTTGAGCTGTTTATCACGGCGTATTAATTTCTTGGAGTGCTTGAAAAAGTGCTAAAAAGTCCATTTTTGAACACTTTGACGCCGTTTTTCTCAAAATTGAGACTTGATGGACAAGTTCCGTTGACGGATTCGTAATCTACGCTAAAAATCCTATAAGAATCATCAACGTTTGTTCTTATGGCAAAAAAAATCCAAAATTTGTGAACCAGTGTTATTTAAACGAAATGGAAAATAATTTCTTTTCAAATTCCTGTATTTTTAGTTTATTGCAAAAAAATAAACACTAAAAAAGTAATTAAAAATTAGAACTACATAGTTCTTTTGTTAATTTTATAAGATTTGTTTAGTAATTTTAAGTTTAATTAAATATTTACTTCATATAATATTTGTTCTTTTGAACAGGAGCAAAAGTTAATGTGAAACAAAAATGAAATACCAATTGGGATTCGTATTAATTTTACAACTTATGACAATATGTTGTACCTCAGAAGACTTTCGGCACATTTTATATCAAGGTAGAGTAACTTAAAATCTCATTTAAAAATATTAAAAAAATAACTTGATGTTATTATTTTAGCTAATTTTAGTTTCCGTCTCTCCCTACCTTACAAAATCCAGTTGTTAAAAATTAATGCGTAGGATGTTAAAATGTAATTTAGATTAATTTTCAGTAATTATATTATAATAGGAATCAATACATAAAGCTATATAAGAATTCATATAGTATTTAATGAAATTTATTAAATCCTATGTAAATTCCTATGATAATTCCTATCTGAATTCTTTCATTAATTCAGGTCCAAAAATCATATGTATATATATGATTTTGCATAGGATCCTATACATATTCCTACGTGGGAATTTTCAGTGGGGGGTATTCTACTTTTACTGGAAACTGGTGTCCCTCTTAAAATGTCTCAGTTCAGAAATATGGATTTTTTTGCAAGTTAAAAGCGTCCACTATACTAGACTATGGTATCTAGTAAGAAACCTTTAAATTGGTACAATTTCATAAGTTATTTATTTTTAGATTTACTTCAAGATGGAAAGCTGTTTCAAAAAGAAGGGGTGACCACGTATTCTCAATTATTGTTCGATGTAGCAAGACAACAAGTGGTTGTAGGAGCACGGTCAGATTTTAGTTCTCTTTATTATTCTATATATGTTAGTGCATGAAAAGATATTTTTTAGGTTGAAATAAAGAGCCCCTTTTTCACTATATCTAATTTACTTCTCATTTTAGAGACAATCTTTTTCGTTTGACTTTAAACAACTTAACTCAACTGGAGCATGCATCATGGACCGCACCTACTGAAAAAATATCAACCTGTCAGGATAAAGGGCAAACTTCTGAAGATTGTCACAATTTTATAAAAGTTTTATTGAGCAATGAAAAACAAGTTTTTACATGTGGCACTAATGCTTATAGTCCGATGTGTACGTGGAGAGAGGTAAATTTCCTTTTTTTTATAAATATTATATCCTTATATCAAGAAAATTCAAAAAACACTAAAACAGGCTAGTTATAAATTTGTTACAATAAATTTAAAAAGAACAAGAAATAGAAAAATAAATACTACGTAATGATTTCACATATAAACCATATGCAAATGTTCTGAGGACGTATAATGACATCCAAACTCTTATTTAACAGAATTTCCATTCAACTCGATTGTCGAGTAATAAAATTCTCATTATCTGATTTGTCGCTTAGGAATGCATTTGACATCCAAATTGTCACGTACCTGACCCTATCAAATAAATTTTCCGAATTGATTCGTATTTCAACTTGTTACTGTGTTTTTGTTTCCTTAAAACGTTACTGACCCCAAACTCAAATAAAATGTTTGTCAAAAAAATGCCATTTTATTGTGTTACAGATAGAGAATATTAAGAATGTTATTGATTCGCTATCAGGAGTTGCAATGTGTCCATATTCACCTCATGCTAACGTGACAGCAATTTTGAGTAGATCTGGTGGTTTATTTGCAGGAGCACCAACTGATTTTTCAGGTGCTGATTCCGCTATTTATAGGACGTTAGAATATCCTAATCTTCGAACGCATCAATATGATTTTAAGTAAATATACAATTTTTTATTACCTAATTATATTCGAGGTTAAATAAACTTTTGCTTCAATATTTGGGGCTAAAAGTAGAATTCTTAATACGAAAAATAATTATCACGTTACTTATTTAACAGAATTAAAAAAAGAGTAACTAATTTATTACTTTAGGTGGCTCAATGACCCACAGTTCGTTGGCAGTTTTGAAACAGAAGAACACGTATTTTTCTTATTTCGGGAAACAGCAGTGGAATATATTAATTGTGGAAAGGTAAATACAGAATAACATAATTGAATAAATTAATAAAATATCTAAAAATTATTAGATATAAACTAATTCCGGTTGAAAAGAATTCGTACGAATTAAGGAAAAAATTTCATGAGGAATAATGAGAAATATCTCTTAAAATTCATCAAATTCTTAATTTTGGTAAATTGAAAATCCTTTTATAGGAAACAATAGTTTTTGAGCCATGTTTTAAAACGGTTGCAGTAAAAAAATTTTATTTTCAATTTTGTTGTCAAAAAATTTATTCAAAGATAGTAAAATAAATGTATGGAAGAAATAAATGTACGCCCTTTTTCCGGAGAATCACCTACTTAAAAGATATAAATTAAGACGTTTTCTTCATTGATACTTTTTTATTACAGAGAATATACTCTAGAATAGCGAGAGTTTGTAAAAATGATCCAGGTGGGCAGACTTTAATGAGAGATACTTGGACTACATTTAGTAAATCTCGTTTAAATTGCTCATTACCAGGCGAGTTTCCATTTTACTACGATGAAATTCAAGGTGCAGTGTATCATCCAGAGGAAGGGACAGTTTATGCTACGTTTACAACTCCAAAGTACATAAATTTTCATTTTCAGTTTTTGAAAGAATTTATAGTCTCTATTTAAAAAAGCGTCAATACAACCGTAAATACGACCATAAATTCAGCCCCAAATATGATTGGTAAATACGAATTCAAAAACAGTCATAATTACGACCCTAGAAAATAAAAAAATGGTCCAAAATAAGACCATACATATAGCCGTACTATTTCAAATTCGCGGCCATATTAAGAATTATAATTACGGTCATAGTTACATTCTTTTTTTAAATAACAACTATTTACGATTATTTTAATATGAGCCCTTATAAAGAAATAATTTATTTTTTCAATATTTAGTAATGCAATAGCAGGATCAGCAATATGTGCTTTTAATATGTCGGCTATTTTGTCGGCTTTTAATGGTCCTTATAAATATCAAGAAAATTCCGGTTCTACATGGGAAAGGCAACCAGTACCTCATCATAATCGACAACATTGCGGCCAAAAGCTTAATAGTGCACCTTACCAAATAATGAATAACCATAGGTATCAACTAATGGATGATGCTGTACAGGGTATTACTCTAAAGCCTTTGCACACAAGTCGTGAACGGTAATAACTAATTTTCATTTTAATATTTAAAAATATAAGTACAATAATATGAAGTGTTAAGGGACACATAAATAGTTTGAGTTAATATTTATATGTACCCCCACGGAATCGAAACTTTCCTAAAGATTTATTTGAAATATTCGGAATATTTAATTACAATGTTTAGTGAAAATTGTATTAGGATTTAAATGTTCCGATTAAATAAATGTTTAGTGTGAAACTTTCCTAAACATTTAAATGAAATTTTCGCATAATTATAATTATAATTAGGCGAAAATTTCATTTAAATATTCAGGAAAGTTTTGCGCTAAACATTTATTCTGCCGTACAGATTAAAAACATCGCAAGCGACATTGTCGCTTAGGTCGTCATTACTGTAGTATAAACATGAGAAAATCAATCTAAGCGACAATGGCGCTTATGTATCTTTTTAATTTGTACGGCAGTATTCAAGTGGGACATTTAAATCTTTACACAATTTTCACTAAACATTACAATTAAATATTCCAAACATTTCAAATAAATCTTTAGTAAAGTTTCGGTGCTGTGGGGGTTATTAAGGCTCCTGAACCTAAAAGGGCACACGCTCGAATTTCCATCAGAAGTTTTGGCCTATGGTGTTAAAATTTTCAATATCAAATTCCAAGGAATTAACTGTTAAAATTTGATATTTAATAAATTCAAAATTTTAACACGAGGCCAAAACTTGTGATGCAAATTCGAGCATGTGCCCTTTTAAGATCCGTATGCTCAATTTTTCATTTGATGATGATTTTTCTTATTAAAACCATGTCGGATTATCTCAAGGAAACTCTGAGCGAATTTCATCAGGTTTAATTAATTATTTTGATAATAAGTAATTAATTTGCATATTAATTACTTATTAATTAAATTGTAATTTAACATAACTCTTTATGCGTTTAAATCCAAATTTTTTATTAAAAACCTACTGATGACAGTAAAAGCGCATTTTTGTGTCAAAAGATCAATTTAATCTCAAGAAAGAATTTGAATCCCTAAATTAAATTATTCCTTAACACCCCATATTAAGTATAAGGAAAAAATATAAGAACAGGATTAAAAATTATCGCTAATTAAAACAATTAATATTATAAAGATATACACATATTGCTGTGGATACAACCCCAACGAAATTACATCGTAGTGTAATTATACTTTATGCTGCAACAACGACAGGACGTATTAAAAAGATCTCCGTTCTACCAGGAGCACAAGAAACGTGTATAATCGAAGTTTGGGGTCCATTACCTTCGCAACCAATAGTTCTACAGTATCTCAAGGATACACATAGTTTATATGTAGGGATGGATACAGGATTATTTAGGTACTTGCACTTATATAAATATGTGTCAAGAGGGACTAGTTATATATTTTAATACTGTATACTTTAATAATTTACAATCGTTATTGTATTAGGATATCAGCTACTCAATGTCATCGACACCGAACACGATCAGCTTGTTTAAATGCAGAAGATCCTTATTGTGGATGGAATGAGTTAACAATGACTTGTGCACAAGCTCCTGATCAGAATCCAACTGTCAGTCATTGGCATCAAGATATAACAAAATGTCCTGTATTAAAAGATTCAGTAGAAGGAGGTTGGAGTAGTTGGAGTCCATGGCATTTTTGTCAACATGAATCTACAGAATCTGGTTCTGAAAAGTCTCAACACGCCAATTCTCCTCAGAATGAGGTACTTATATCTTAATTTTATTTAATTTATTATTTAGTAAATATATTGTTATCTTTACTATTCATATAGAATCCAGATAGTTGCCAATGTCAAATTAGAGAATGTAATAATCCTCCACCAAAACATGGAGGAAGTAATTGTGAAGGACCAAGAGTAAAAGTTACAAACTGCACTGTTCACGGTGGGTGGACATCGTGGTCTACCTGGTCATCTTGTTCTCAAACTTGTGGTCTTGCCATGAAAACTCGAAGACGTACTTGTACAAACCCTTCTCCTGCGTTTGGTGGTCGAGTTTGTGTAGGACATGATCATGATGAAACTCTTTGTATTGATCTTCCACCGTGTCCGAATCCAGCTCAGTCAATTTTGTCTTCAGAAAATGGACAGTGGTCATCATGGGAATCGTGGACTACATGTTCCCGACCATGTAATGGAGGTTAGTACTATTATCTATTATACTAACTAATTATGTAATTTAGGTAAAAATAATAAAATAGCAGGAATTAAAATAATTCCTGCTAGTACCAATAATGCAGTATTGGAATTTTAGGCATATGAAATTCCTAAACAGTAATAAAAATCGGAAAAGTGTGAGTTACACTCGCATTAATATCGACGGTTCCGTACCCTTAAACCTAAAATTTAAAGGAGTTAAAGTGTGAAGGCAGGTGGAAAAATTCCAATTTTGCTTAATTTTTCCTGTAATGTGAGCATGAAAACACATAGATAGACACATAGTCACATATATTGAAAATTATCAATTTTTCCTTGAAAAAGATATGATTATCAACTCCAATCATGCTTACTATATGTTTCTTGTAATCTACACGTAAAAATACGTAAAAATGTATAAATTTGAAGCCCTTTAGATAAAATTTTCTTCGTTTTTTGAAGAAAATTGATGATTTTTATCGAAAATTATCAGTTTTTCCTTGAAAACGCTATGATAATCAACTACAATCGTTCTCTTTACATTTTTTTTGTAATATAAACGTAAAAAATACGTAAAAAGGTATAAATTTGAATCCCTTGAGATAAAATTTTCTTCTTTTTTTATTTGAAAAATCCATGATTTTTTCTAAAAATTTGAGTTTTGCTTAAAAACAATATGATCATCAATTCCAATCGTGCTCGCTATATTTTTCTTGTGATCTATACGCAAAAATACGCATGTATACCAAATATGAACTGTCTTGGTCAAATAGTGTGTGCGCTAGGAGGATTAAACGCTTTTTTTCAAAATTTTTGATTTTCCCTTGACAACGCTATGTAAATCGATCCGAATCATGTTGGATATATTATTTTTCCTGTAATTTTCACGTAAAAATATATAAGTGTACCAAATTTGAGCTCTCTATGTGAAAAAATGTGTCCACCAGGGGTGGGGGTACATAGTCATTTTTAGGGATTTTTCGTAAAAATTCATGGTTTTTCCTTGACAACGCTATGATAATCAATTCCTATGAGATTCGCTATATTTTTCCTGTAATCTACATGTCAAAATACATATGTGTACTAAATTTCAGCCCTCTAGATAAATTCGTGTGGCCTCTATGGGTTGGGGGGGGGGTGGGGTACATGCCTTGCTTCACTAGTCTCATTAATAGGGTTCCCCCTTCGAATACGGAACCCTCAAAATATGATTTTTCGATTGCTGATACCTTAATTGAACACTAATTAGTCCATTCTAGCTATTCATGTCAATAGTTTATTTCAACCAATTTCATCGATTTAATACAATAGTTTAACGCGCTACAAAATGTCAACGAAATTGACACTAATCTGTTGCGCTTCACGCTATTCGCCAGGATTGCACGTAAATTAATTATTATAAATATTTAATTATATTTTTAATATTAAAATTGTATTTTATAGGTGTACGAATTAGAAGAAGAACTTGTGACACTTCAATAACTCACGAGAGCAGTGCTGACTGTCCCGGATGTAACTTTCAAGTTAGTTTCCATATGAATTCTAATTTGATTTACAATATTTTACACTTATGACAAAATCATTTTATTTCTGCGACTCTGAATATTTCTAATTAATGATGTTATGTATAACATTCACAAATCTTTTTAATGGCAAAGTAACATAAGCATGTTTGTTTAGGTTGAGCATTGTAACAGTCAAGCTTGTACAGAGACAAAAAAATATTCAAATTGGACACCATGGATGGTCACTAACTTGACAACGCAAGCTGAAGAAGTTGATTACATTGAAAAGCGTTATAGATTTATATGCCGTGCTCAAATTGACAACCCTTCTAGTTTACGTATTCACTTGGGAAAAGAAGAAGAACGTTATTGTAAAAAAGATGGTTCTTGCTCTCGTGGAATAGGATTAACAAATACGGACAGTAATCCAGAAGTTGGTTGGTCTGAATGGTCTCATTGGTTTTCATGCAATCGTGTATGTGCTGCAGGTTCTCAGGCTAGAGTAAGTATATTTAAAATGTGTAGATCGGATATTGTATGAAATTATTTTTGTATCAAGATAAATTATTATTGTTTATCATAGGTATTAAACTTGTTATTTGATATAATGTTACTAAAATTAAACTATTAAGAATTCAGAAATTAACAATTTTTCGTAGATGAGGCAATGTGAATCACCTCCTTGTGAAGGTGTGTCAATGGAAACAAGAGTTTGTGGTCCATTTTCATGTCGTGGAAATGAAATGAAAAAGAGTAAAGCTGAAGGACCCTGGTCCAATTGGTCGAATTGGTCACAGTGCTCTACATCTTGTGGTACTGGAATTCGAACAAGGAAAAGAGAATGTACATCACCAAATTCATGTGAAGGGCCCAATTTTATTAAAGAATTTTGTAAAATGCCGAACTGTGATACTGCTTCTGATTGGGATAATTGGTCAAATTGGTCTAACTGTAATTTTGATAATCAGCAATATAGAAAACGTAAGTGCCTTGTACATCAAAATAATGGAGTCTGTCAAGGTGCTAATCAAGAAGTTCGTCAATGTTCTTATAATGGTAAAAATAATAATTTTTAAAATATTATGAAACAAACATTAAAAATATTTAAGTCACAATTCGTATGCAATTTTCATGAATTTTCGTACAAAAATACGTTTCATAACTTTAGTATATCTTAACGATTTTCAGAATTTATCAATAACCTCTCTCCAAATGTTCAAATGGCAGGTGTATCTATTGGAGCAGTTGTAGGAAGTTTCATCGTTGGTATCATCATTGGCATGATTTTTATGACAGTATTGAGTATATTTTACATGAAGCGAAAAGCATCACATATTGCAGGAAGCCCTCATTATATAACAAAACAGAACCCATACGTCATAGTACCACTAAAAGAGGTAATTCTTAAATGATATATGTTTGAAATTAGTTACTAAATATAACAAATTATTATTTCCGAAAATGTAAATAACTCAATTAATCAAGAATTAATTAATTAAGTAGAAATTTTTATTTGTAGTGGTTATTTTTTATCCTTCCATATTTTTAAATTTGTATAAGATTTTTTCGATTATGGAAGACAGGTCAAAAAGTAAAAAACACTTTTCTTATTTTTATAACGACGACGTTTCGATAACTAGGTTTGTTATCATCATCAGGTCACTTTAATAAAACAAATCAATGCACAAATAAATAACAATTCACAAAAAAAATTATATATAAAAAATTATAAAAATAAATAATTTACCTAATTGACATTAATTACATAAACATTCATCTTCAGTTTTGACTAATCACTCATTGCGACAATGTCTGTGATTTGTTCTTGTTTTTATTACTTTCGACTTATTTTATATTTATTTATTTTTATAATTTTTTCTTTGGACGGAATGTTTATGTAATTAATGTCAATTAGGTAAATTATTTATTTTTATAATTTTTTATATATAATTTTTTTTTGTGAATTGTTATTTATTTGTGCATTGATTTGTTTTATTAAAGTGACCTGATGATGATAACAAACCTAGTTATCGAAACGCCGTCGTTATAAAAATAAGAAAAGTGTTTTTTACTTTTTGACCTGTCTTCCAAAATCGAAAAAATCTTATACAAATTTAGAAATTTTTATTATTCAGCAGTAGTATTTCTAATAAAGTATAAATCGTTTAATAGGTGACTCCGAAGCGCTTGTCTAGCTTTTCATCTAATTCAAATATGAATGGTACTTTAAGGGGAAAAAATAATTCTAATATAAATGGAGTCGGAAGCCCGAAGCTTTATCCAAAAAGTTTAAATTGTGAATCAGCCACATTAAAGCGCAATAGCCATAAACAACAATACAATGCTGCAGACGTTGATCAAGACAAATACTATTGATAAGTAACAAAGTATTTAAATAAATTAAATTTATAACTGTTGGAAGTACAAAAATCTTTATTAAATTGCAACGTTGGGATGATATACGAAAATATGGTGCAGGAATATTTAAACAACGTTGCTGAACAAATTTTGCTCATTATACCGTATTCGCAAAATACTCTCAGAAATTTTTCATTTCTTTCAAAAATATCTCATTCCGCCATTGATCGAATTCTAGGACATCATAAAGTGTTTTAAAGATAAAAAAAGGTCTTAAAATAATACATCTGTTTTTGCAGTGTAAAATTATCCTATACATTTTTTTTAAATAATCTTAATCTCAAAAACGACTTCAACTTGATTTTACAATACAATAGTCAGGATAAATACATTTTTATTTTTTGAGAATGTAAAAGTACATAGAATTAAGATCCTTTTTTAAAGACTTTTTGAAGATTTCTCACTCAGCTGAGTTTCTTGTCTGAACTTTTACAGAAGTTGCTGCTTTAAGCTTGGTAAGTTTTCACTGCTAGTGTCGGGAAGCTTAATCATAGCAGAAAAATGTCCTTTTGCGCAAAAAGAAAACTTCCTAAGTTGGAAGCAACAACTTCTATTAAGGTTCAGACAAGACGCTCTGTTGTTTGGGTTGCGTGAGAAACTATATTAAAGTGATAGCGCGCTATAATGAGCTTGTGGCTTTATAGGAAGAATCAAGAAAGGAAATTAAGCGTTAGTAAAAGTAATGCAATTAGACGTTCGTCTTGAGACTTTTCTTCATTTTTGTATCATGATTGAAAAAGTTGTACTAGAATTGTTATTTTCTTAATTATAATCAACCGCAAAACTACTTTACCACTAGGTATCAGTGCAAGATATGTATATAAACTCCAGTTTCTGAACAATCGCGATCGAATTACAAAGACTGTATTCATGCTCCATGTCTTTAAAATTTTAATATAGCATATTTGTTCTCATATTTGAGACTTGTTATCGTTATCTTTTTATTAATGTAAAAAATATAATAAATGATCACCATTACAAAAGAAGGAGTAAAAATTCTTCCTCTATTATGGTGATAAGAATTTATGATATGAATGATTGTTGCTTTGAAAATCACTGGTTATATATTTCGAATATATGTCATTAACAAAATAACTTTATTGATGAAAAAACTTTATTGTTAAAGAAGCAGATGTTGTTTTTTTATATAAAATATATGAGTGAGTGTGCTGTGGAAACATAAAAAAATGTTTTTCTTGACTTGGAGTGATCGATATATTTTACTTTACTACTAATTTTTTATATTTCGTATACATTTAGAATAAATACTTTGATTGTAAGACTGCGAATAACTTATATTTTATTGAGAGAAAGTTGTTTTAAAGAAAATATAATAACTGCCATATTATTGGTAAGCTTTTAATTGTAAAAATGCAGGAAAATATTTTAAGTTAAAACTTTTTTATCGTTATTATAAATATATTGAACTAGTCTGTACATTCCTTACAAATTTACATATTGTTTATTATGCGTCAAACTAAATGTAAACGATTTTTTCTAATACTCTATTTTGTTAAAACAAGTATTACAGATTTTATTAAAAATTTTGAGTTTGTATTACATTATTTCCTTACCTATCTACATATTTTGTAAGTGTATAGATGTTAATTTTAGAAAAATTATCACGAAAATTGTAATAAATTGTCGCGTTTATAACCTTTTCAGTAATTAAAATTTTAATAGCGTATAAACTGGATGAATAATTGCTAAGGAAAAATTCTCCCAAGGCAAGTGACGTTGGGTATTTATGTATATAATATTAAATTTGTGCCCGACATGTAAATTTCAGATTAAGATTCAATATTTACGTAAAGTTGAAATTCTTTCTCTTGCATTTTCTTTTTGTTACTACATTTTCAGGTATGCGTCCTATCAAGATTCACATTAGTGAGTTGCCTCTGAATAAAAAACGAAAGTATTGTTTCAAAAAGATAAACAGAATTCCGATGCTCGGTTTTTATTATATTTTAAACAGGTTTATTTTTATGTGTAACTTTTATGAAATTTATTTTCAGAAAATCGATAAAAAGTGAATTTGATAATTAAAGAAAATTATTTTTAATTATTTTAAATTTTCATTTCATTACATATAAATTTATTTTTGTAAACTTTTGAGTGCCACGCAATGGCGAAAGTAAATAGGCCTTAATGCGATCCATTTTGATGACGACGGAGGGATACCTTGTTTATAAAGGGTTACCATCAGTGAGAACAATGTATTAAGTATCTCGACCAAGGAGACACTATTCAACTGGGATAACTCTAAAAGCACAAGATGGTTTCTATTGTCTAAACTGATAGTACAATTTAGTACTGAATCCCCTATAATTTCTATGTTAAATATGTTGTAAACCTGACACTTAATAAAAGTGTAAACATACGTTAATTAAGATAATTGCAATTACTACTTAATTTAATAAATTATTATTTAAACTAAAAAAGTTTAATTATAAAAGAAGTTATACGTAAAGCATATTAGGGGGATATCGCGATTGCAAGGCGCATTTTACTTTGTATATTTACGTTTCAGGTATTTTTCGTATGTATATAAAATGAAAGAGATAAGCGAGAAATAAGAGAAGTGATTTCTGGAAGGAAACTTAGATAACGAGCTTCCTTCGCAAGTTTTTAAAAACAAGAGGGTTCAACATGAATATTCTCCTTCCCTCATAGCACAGAAATTACGTCAATATTTATAAAATGGTCATACATAATACTGCCTCCCCCTCAAGTAAAAAATATTTTGTTACAAAGAGAAACAAAGCTAATAATATTTCAGTCTTCATTTTGAAATAATCCAAAGTATGAAGAAGTAAAATAATTTAAAAGTGAAGTAATAAATTTCATAATAAGTTTATGATTTTAATGGTTTCTAATTGAATTAAAAAAAATTGGTTGATTTTATTATTTTTTATTTTATGTGACATTCAAAGTTTTACTGCTTCGGTTTATCTATTAATTAGAAACTTTGGTTGCAATTTCATCAATGTCTCCACTCAATCGAACAAAAATGCCTGGCGGCTTATCGAAAGTTTGTTCGATAAATAATCACGTACGTTCTGCTCCGTTCAGCTTTCAATGTCCAATGCTTTCGTCAAACAAGTTCCCTCGTTCTATTCGGTTCATTGACGAATGGGTCTTGGAATCTAATCAAACATTTATGCTAAATCACGAAACAATCCGAACGCAATCAGCAAATAAAAGTAGATGCTCCCTTCGGACGGACGCTTTAAACCCTACTGGTCATTTGACTCTCCTATTTATTTACTCGGAGGTTGAACGCCCGGGGACAAAAAGTTGATAGACATTCCACGCTGGACAAAAGGTCCGGGATTCAGACTGCTAGCAATAGGTATGTAAATTCTTAGAGGGTGCGAGCACGCATTTGCATGATCAGTACATTTGTGGTGGCCATATTCCTATGCTGATTAGCCTCGTTTATTAAGATTAACTTTTCTCGAAGTAATCTTACTGGCTTTGTCTATATAACAAAGATGTCAGTATACAACATGATCAAAATTTTCTTCTACCAAATAAACATTAAAAAAGGGAAACAATTTTTTCATAATAATTTTGATAATTTTTAATTCATTTTAATTTTTTAATTACACGACAGGGATAGCTTATGTTAACAACATTGGCGGAACCCACGTTTGGGGTATTAATAATATAGCCCGTGAAATCTAAGAATGGTACTGTGCTAATCGCAATTTGCACCTGTACGCTTCTTACATCCCTTCGGAAAAATACCGGAGCTGACAGAAACCTATATTATTAGTTAAAATATTTGAACCCCTAAAATTTTTTACATGCTTTTTTTAAATAATATTTATTTAATATTCACAGATTCCATTAATAAGTGTTAAATATGCCCAGTAGGCAAAAAACCATGTTTGTTTTAAAAACGTTTTTAGAACGTTTCATGTCTGCCAAATAATGTTCTAGAACATTATTTTAACATCTATGTTCTTAAAATGTTTCAGAACATTATTTCTAAAAACGTTTTTAAAACGAACATGGTTTTTTGCCTACTAGGTGATATCGCCGATATCGACACGATTTTTCACACACGAAAAAATCAATGATTTTCAGAAACTAGGACCAAAAAAAAGATACCCGTGTCTGGCCGTTTTGCTAGATCAGGTCATTTTTTCTTTAAGGGGTAAAAACAACCCTTAAATGAAAGGTGATAGGAAATCTTGTACAAAAAAATAATTTTTTATGAAACCTGGTATCTCGGGGTTTTTCGGGTCGCTGATTACAAATCTGATGTCAGATTTTCAAAATTCAAAATGGCGGATCCAATATGGCGGTTGAATTTTATAAAAATTCACCAATTCATTTGAAAGTTGTTACTTTGGGGTTTTTGGGGTCGCTGATTACGAATATGATGTCAGATTTTCAAAATTGAAAATGTCGGATTCAATATAGCGGTCGAAATTTATAAAAGTTCATCGAATTCACTTGAAACTTGTTACTTGAAGGTTTTTGGGGTCGCTGATAATGAATATGATGTCAGATTTTATTAATTCAAAATGGCGGATCCAATATGGCGGTCGAAATTTATAAATATTAATTATTTTTTATAAAACTTGGTGTCTAGGGGTTTTTGGGGTCGCTGATAATAACGTAATAATAATAATAATAACATAATAACATTTATAAATTTCTACCACCATATTAGATCCGCCATTTTGAATTTTGAAAAGCCGACATCAAATTCGTAATCAGCAACCCCAAAAACCTTCAAGTAACAAGTTTCAAGTGAATTCGACGAACTTTTATAAATTTCAAACGCCATATTGAATCTGCCATTTTGAATTTTAAAAATCTGACTTCAGATTCGTACTCAGCGACCCTAAAAACCCATAGACACCAAGTTTTATAAAAAATAATTAATATTTATAAATTTCGACCGCCATATTGGATCCGCCATTTTGAATTATTAAAATCTGACATCATATTCGTAATCAGCGACCCCAAAAACCCCTAAGTAACAACTTTCAAATGAATTGGTGAATTTTTATAAATTTCGACCGCCATATTGGATCCGCCATTTTGAATTTTGAAAATCTGACATTATTTTCACAGTTTTCTTGTGTGTATCAAATTGATACAAGAATTAAGATCAACTCATGCAACGTTTTGATTCGATATAAGGTATCAAATTGATCCAAATATTTGGATCATTTTCAAGAATTGATCCAGAATATGGGATCTTTTTTTGATACCTGAATTGGTATCAAAGTATAACTGTCATGGCTGGCATGCTCTTATTGACAAGTTTATTAATTAATTTATTCACTGCACTGAATATTCAGATATTAAAAATACTTTTATTATGAATTTTAAGAAAGAGAGAAGCGAAAACTTATAAATTGCGAGCAATTAAATAAGAAAAAATTTATTTCGAAATAAAATGAAATACACTAACCTTTATTTATATTTATCACATAAGATTTAAGTTAAGTTCACAATCACAATACTTGAAAATTTTTAATTATTTTTATGGTTCAAATAATTATCAATAATTTATTTATTATAAATGAACAAAATTTAAGTAATGCACGCTTGATAAATATTTCTAATGCGTTGTCAATTAATGCATTTAATAATTTCCTATTACACAATATCATAATCGACATATATGACATTTGTAAACAAACAGGGTTGGGAAACAAGAGCCCAAAATATATTTTCAATCCTACCCAACTCTGCTTTGGACGAACACATTTTTGGCTTCATTTCTCAAAGTGTTACTTAAGATGAGTTATCATTAAGTTACTGTGATAGTGTTAACGTATACGTGTATTCTTATTGTCTCCAAGGTCCTGGGTTCGATCTTCAATGCGTGCAAAGATTTTAATTCCCAGATTTAAGTATTACATGTATAGTAACCCGAGGCGAAATTTAAGGCCTACTTTACAAGGAGTAAAGTAGGATTAAACAGACCCTCTTTAGCTTCCTCAACTAGTCGCAAATTTCCCTTCCCTCCACGTTTGGATTTAAAGTAGGGTCTAAAAATTGATTAAAATATTGAAAATTTTGATATTGCTGTAATTCTATTAATTTTTTAAAAACGCTTAAAAATATGTTAATTCCAGTTTTTAAAGGGTTATTAAAGAAAAATGATGTGGAAAAAATTCATTTTGCTTTAATCTAAATAATTAAGAGTATTTTTTTTACTTTTTTAATCGAAGTAAACCCTCTTCAGCTTCCTCAACCAGTCGCAAATTTACCTTTCTTCCACGTTTGGATTCAAAGGAGGGTCTACAGGAGTCTACAAGATCCAAAAGAGGGCATATTTAGGTTTTAAGGGAAGCTAAAGAGTATTTAAATTTCGCCTCGTGAATTGTTAATTAATTAAACGAATTAACAAAATTTATAAAATCTAAATAAATAATATTGACCTTATCGTAAAGTACCTTTACTGTGTCGCCAGAACACATATGTATAAGTATGTATTAAATTTTAGGCAACATGTTTGCAAAAAAAATTGAAAACTTGAAAGTAAATAATTTTACTACTTT